ACAAAGGGAGATTGAGGGAAACATTGGCAAAACTGTAGCTGAAGATAATTTGAATATGTGGAGTGAGAATATAATGTGAGAAAACATAATGGCTATAATGGATGTAAAGACCAACAGAGCCTTTTACGCGGTCTCACAACCTTTCAAAGCCATTTACTCTTTTCTTTAGTATTTTTGAAAAAAAAAAATACAGAAGAGTAGAGAAATGACACAAAATTGTGCAATATAACTGCAACAAAGGCCCTGTCTGGAGTCAAACCAAGGACGTATGGGTTCATGGTTGCTGTCTTAACTCCTAAGCTATAGAGTACCCCAACACCTTTATACTCTTAAACCAGCAATAACTGATTTCTTTGGCCACCAGCAGAAAGAAGCCAAAAACACAACACTGACAAATTATTCACCAGTTGTAGGAGGTGTGTTCACAGAAAGTGAAGCACATTTTTGCCTTGCATTACTTGCACAAGATTGACTGCTGGTTAAATCTGGTTTACCACAGCGGGATGAACCCAAAATAAACAGGTTTTGCCAGGATTTCTTTGTAATAAATCAAATAAAAGGATGCTAAAATTACTGCATCATGATGTCAATTTGTAAAACGTCTGAATTTATACTTTCTCAGCTCTGTCCACAAGACAACACGAAAACATCTTTTAAAATGCTTGTTTTCTGAATGGAGTTTGGATCAAACAGAGTTATGCTATGCTAATTTGTGTCCAGCAATTTCTGTAGCTTTCTGAAACACCTTTCCAAAATGATTAGCCAGGTGTGCAGAGGTGAGAAAGTTGGCAAGAATTATTCTTCTCTCTCATGCTCTCTCAACTTCTCTTTCCTTCTTTGCAGGACTTACTTTTCATGTGTACAACCAAGTGCAACACTATGAATGCCTTCCAGGAAAGATTTTTCAAAAGTTTTCCTCTCTGGCTACATTCCCTCTTCCCTAGGCCCCTTCATTGCCATTTTCCATCCATCTACCAGATGCCTTCGGACGTTCCTTCCTTTCCCCATCAGCCCCTTCCTTAAAACTATTTATTGCCCTACCTGCCCATCAGAAGAACTTTTCACCAGATTTCCCACATCAACGCTGCAGTCACCTGACCTTCTGCTCATTCACATACTCACCTGTTTTCACTTCCCTAATTATCACTCACTACATATACCAGCCCAGAACTTTCTTACCTGTTACCTATCTGCCTTCCTCAACTTGCCTGTAAGCTATTTTGGTCATTAAACCACTGATCTCATCCTGCTGTGTCGACTGTCTGCATTTGGGTCCTTCCCCACGGTGACAGTCCCATCATTTCAAAGGGGTGAAACAGCTGCTCAGTGATATCATTTGGGTCCAGCGATGTATGCCATTGTTCACATTCAATCAAAGCTTGATTAATTCCTGAAATATGATATGAAGTATACTTCAAATATGATTTCTGAATTGTTTCTTCAAGCTCTCTGCTTCATGTACAATGTAATATACAGTAAAACATGGGAGCAAAGAACAGTATCCTCCATTGTAAATCACATTAGAGCAAAAGCATCGGCAAACCCAAGAAATAACGTAACATTTCAGGAGAGTGAACACAATAGAAGAGTACTGCAGAAACAGTGACATTGAGAGGGAAGAATAAAAACAGCACTTTCATTATGTGTCACTTTCCCTTATTCAGTCCTTCTCAATTTCTTTCCCTATTCTCTTGTGTGTTTGTGTACAAAATCTGCCTAACCCTTTAACATTTGATTAATTGACACTCTGACACTCTTAACTTGCTGGCACTTTGTCTCATTTGCTTCTTTCACTCAGTTCATGTCACCATTTAAACTCCAGTTCGTATGGACTCCCTAAAAGTGTGCTTGCGTGGCACCCATCTGTCTTCCACCATAAATCTGTGTAACATTTGCATTTTGGTCTTAACAGCATCTAAACCATCTTAGAGATAAAGTGAACATTCATACAACGGAGGAAGGAAAACAAAGTGCTAAAAATAAATCAAAACTGGGAAAAAAGTAACATTAAAAGAACTAACTGTTTTTTCCCCTGCATTTTGGCAGAGCTATTGTTTCAGTCTAATTTCTCATTTCACACCTCTCTGTTTGCCTGTTCAGCTATTTTATTTTACTTATAATCATAATTCAGAAGTGTTTGCCCTCACCAAAAAGGCACTTATGAAATCCCATGTGTGAATTTAAACCAGGTTTCCTTCTGGGACACAAAGTACTCTGACTTATATGTTATATAAACAGTATCCAGTATGTAGATGTCTATCATAGATATGTTTTACTTCAAATGTTTGACCATGTCATGATGTTACATTTGATTTGTTTAGTGAATCTAACCTTCTCTACTTTGTCTTCAAACTAGATGGAATACCTTTATTTAGTTTGTTTGTCACATACTCTCAGTGCTCGCAGTCAGTCATACAGTCAGTCGTAGTGGTGCTGTTGTGGTGGCAGTGTTTCTGCACAAAATCAGAGCGTTGAAGGGTTCAATTGCTGACCAGCATGGAAGTGTTTACTGGCTAATCTGAGCTGCTATCAAAATGCCTTGACCAAGGCATAGTATATTTATACAACTGACAAATAATTGCCAAGTACTCTAGCCTGAAACATTGAACTTGAACATAGTCAGATGAACAGCTGCTGAGCTGTCCTTGGGTTTTACTTCAGATTTTACTTCAGAAGTTAGAAAATAATTGCAGCTGCTCTGAAAGTGTTTTGATTTCACCTGGTGCTGTGCTGTTTATTATTTTCAAACTGTGCTACCATTTTGGTTAGGACTTGCTTTAAAAAGAGAGATTCTCATCTCAAGAGACCCTCCTACTAAAATAAAGGTTAAGTAAATAGAAAACATATATTCCTCGCAAACACACAGGCAGGTCTCTGTGTTTAACAACATATGTTTAAGGTAACAGAGACATGAGTGTCATTAATCAGCAGCACAATTTCTAAAGTGCTGTGCTTATTTTGTTCTAAGAGCCAGTGTAATATGTAGTGTATATTTTAACTTTGTTGCTATTAAAAATGCATGTCAAAAATGAAAAATGCAACACTACTTTTGCAAAACCAGCTGGAAAAAAGGGGGATGATGCATACATCTGTGGCATATTGTTTTGGATAAGAATACAGACAGTGGGTTGGTGTGAATGGATAGTACGGTAATGGCGACACATGAGAACTTTAAATTACTTTTTTACTGTTGTACTTTTTTGTACTCTTATTTATGGAACTGTGTGAACGTTTCCTGAAGTTTCCCTCTGGATGAACTGGGAAGCTTTGCACAGCTCAGAGTTATAACTGACTAGTTTGATTTGGTTATTTTGCAACAGATGGGTATTAAATACACATTATCCAGTAGAGGTAACTACAAAGGATCTGGTATGTGTAATTGCTTTAAAAATAGGTGGTATAATTTATCAAGTTTAAGGCCGTAGAGGGACCCATAAAAGACCTGCTGTGGCATTGGCATTTAATTAACTGAAAGGGATGGCTTTCATACAGCCTACTAAACACTGTAGATGAGACAGGCGTCACCTTAGTTACACAACATGTAGTGACTCAAAACTTCTGTAAGTGCTACAGAAGTGTCAACTCCGACCACCATTACAAGGCTTGTCTTATCCTAAGTGGACTTAAATTCAAATGAAACTCCATACAAGTATATACGAGCTGAATAACAAGCGTGAGTTGTATGCTCAGCACAAGCCGTCCCTGGATGAATACAAGCTGAATAAAGGGGGACATCTTCTTTAAGAACTCATGCGTGTCATGTCAGAAAGTATGATTCAGTTACGGGCAAGAAGACCTCTGACCCAGATAAAGGAACCAAATAAACCATAATGACAGATATATATACAGATATATGACCAAATCAGCGTGCCACTAAGTTTGTGGACAACACAAAATGTTTTTGTTTATCTTGTCTGAACAAGATAATGTGCTGCCATACTAGGGCTGAACGATTAATCGTTTTCAAATCGAAATTGCGATTTGAAAGAACGCGATTAGTTAATCGTGAAGAGGCGATTTAAATGTGGGTTAATTATAGAGCGCATCTGACCCGCTTTAAACAGTCGTGCAGTTACAAATTCATTCTGTTGTCATCCTTGTGTGACAGATCTGCTCGACAATCACAAGCGCCATGCACCTCCTGTTATGGTCCTACTCACCAATCAGCGGGAACAGGGTGTGTGCATTTTACAACAACAAGCAACACTAGAGGAAACGTGTGGGACAATGGCGCCAGCCGGACAGACGCAGGCAGCGGTTGTGCCTACATGTTGTTAACATGTTGTTAATTTGTCATTTTGTGTGTTTCAACTACAGAGAACATTTCTCTGTGAGGCCGTTCTGTTCCGCTCTCTGCAGGCTAATGTTAATTTCCACATGGTGCATTTCAGAATAAGAGTGTTTGCCTGTCTGATTTTGCCGACTTGTTCAGATTTAGCTTATTTGTTCAGTTGTCCTTGATTTTTGTGCTTCAACTATGGTTAAGTAGGCTACGTAGTTATATTGTGTCTTTTTTTGGTCTGTTTTAACTGTGTTTATTGTTGATGTACGATCGTGAGTCTGCAAAAGGGGTTTTATATTGAAAATCGACCAGATTCTCCATGCCGTTCTGTGTCTGACTTCCTGTCTGGTTAAGCTGCTTGTGCTGCTTGACGCGGCTTCAGTCAAAAGTACACTGGTAGTGAATATTGAACTTTAGCAAAACTTCAATAAAAAAAAAAAAGCAAATCGTAATTTTTGGCAGAAAAATCGCAATTAGATTTTTTCCCCAAATCGTTCAGCCCTTTGCCATCCCCTCTGTGCTTTGTCAATTTCATTCTAACAGAAATAACTCTACTGGTACAGTGTCTTTCTAAAACAAAGTTTACTTAATGTCTTGCAATCAAGACAAAAATACTTTTTTTACACATCCATCTTATTTGTTGTGTTCCATTCATGTTCAAGAGGCAGAGTTGTGTATTGTTTTTATATGTGATTTCCCTCTCTCTCTTTCTCTTTAGCTTGCCCTCAGGGCACCTTTAAGTCGTCCCAGGGGGCAGGATTATGTCAGCAATGTCCGCTCAACAGTCGCTCTACCATCGAGGCTGCCACCCTCTGCGGTTGTCGCAATGGCTATTACCGTGGAGACATGGACAAACCGGAGGACGTGTGCACCAGTGAGTCAGTCTCTCTCAAGCTCAAACAAACACATATGCAAAAGAACAAAAATACGTACTCAATAAACCTTTCTCAGTAGTGTTGCTTAATGTGATTATGCAGGAGGCAGATTTTTGGACTCAATGGCTGGCAATACAGAATTTTAGTGATTGACGTCACTGACAGTCCAATATACCATCATTGAATTAAAGGCCAATATCTGCATTGATTTATCATTCCATCCCTGATTTCATGCACATCATTCAGAGCAAGTGTGCTGCTATGTCCCCGTCCTTGTTTGGGGATTTGGGGAGCAGTAAGTAATAACACTGCCACATTCCTCAGGCTTTCCATTGAAGTGAATATGTGTTTAGTGTGTTGAAAAGGCTATATTGCTATGCAAGACGAGGCACAGAGTTTGAAAAACGCTGCCTCTCAGTTCCACAGAGAGATGGTGTAAGTAGGTTGAGACATGAATCATTTGGACTGTCTCTACAGCTAGTCTCAAACTGCGAAACTGGGTGTACGTGTCGAGGCGTGTGTTTGTGTTTGTGCACATCCTGGTGACCTGGATAGAACTGTTTTTTGGGGGCTAAAAAAGCCCATTTTCATTCATGGGCGGCTCTTTATTTTACTGTTTTACATTCATGAATTAAATTGCAACATTATACCAAAAAACATAAAAGGTAACTCAAAAACTGTTGAATTTTCTCTGTTTTATTTTATCAAGTAAATATTTGCTATATCTACTTTTAGCCCTTTTTTTTTTCCTCTTTCGAACTGGTTTTCACCTCTGCCTGTGAGTTTGTTTTGACTAAATCATACTATACTACTGGACTAATTCATCCAATTGCACACAGTTTGGTTGGCTTTCACACCTAAAGTTCTGTTCAGTTGGAAAAATAATGTAAAATAACAATAATAATTTATTAAAACGTCCATAGAGGCAAAAGAGTGATTTGCAATCCAATAGATGTAATCCAGTTCAGAAGGATCAAAACTCTTTTCGTGTCATCTTACACTAGAAACTGTCTGCCTCGTTGGGGCTACATGCTGCAATATTTGCAATATTGTTTTACTTGTACTGCAGTCAAACTGTGTCACTCATCATTCATTACATTATATGGGAAAGTGATTATGGAACAATTTATGGGGTTAACCTATTCTGACAAGAAAGAAACCACATGAAAAGCCTCACCTCAAACAGCTGCAGCACACTCTCAAATTGATGCTGACAGAAGAAAAATCTACTTTCCCAGAGAAAAGGTGTCAAGTGTCAACCTACTCAGCCTACACAGCCTCGTGAATTACCTTGGTGCTTTCAATTCAAGGGCACAAACAAATGGAGTTACAAGTTTTTCAAACACAACAGCAACAGCAGAAAAAGGAGAGTGAGAACTCTGAACACTGTGGGCTAGAACCTCAATACAGGAAGGAGCTTCAGTTTTTTATTTGGTATAAACTCAATCACATATAAAATCAGATCAGTGAAATGGAAGAGTGTGCAGTGTGTGGATAGTTGCCTGATAGAAAATCATTCCCTCAGTATGCCTTATGTGCTGCATAGGTACGGAGGAGGTCTGTGTGTACTGGATGTGTGTAGGTTTTTTTAGTGTATTTTTGTGTATAGGTCAGATTGATACGGCAAAAGCCATTTACGAAACAGTGAAGAAATATGGTTGCAGACAGCAGCACAGATAAGTCTTTGAAGTGCCTCTTTTCTTACTTTTTTTGCATTTGAATGTGTATTTGCTGTGTTTGACAGTGTAAAATAATTTGTATTTGTGCTACTCAGATCAAAAGTAAGACTGAGTCAATATCTGTGTCAATACACTGCATCTATGTGTGTATAATGAATGCAGTTTCTGACGGGCCCTCTCTCTCAGTAGGAATGTTTTGCTACTTAGATTTTCAACCCCCTACTGACTGTACTGTACTGTATTGCACTTTGATTCTGCAGGGTGGGTGTCTCTGAGTTGTTTGACAAATACACACATACACATATTCCACAGGGCCATCTCAAGACGTTTCTTATGACTATAATTTAACATATGCCAAGGTTGAATATCTATTTCATTTCAACTGCTCTTGTTCCACCATGTCGTGAGGGTGTTGATGTGTGTCGGGGTATTGTGATGTGTGTGAACAGTGAAGGAGAAGTGAACCCGCTAGGTTTAACCTTGTGAAAACTCTGTGTGCTTTTAAGACTCCCTTCAACACCTCAGATCAAAGAGATGAGCTGACAGAAAAGAAAGCGAGAAACTGACTGACTGACAGACGAAAAGACTGATTCTCTGGCTGGCGGAGATGTTAGGTCACCTTCTGACTGTTAGAGACAGGTTTGGCTGAAATCCCACATCTGTACCAGCAGTTCTGGTCGGAAACTGCACTTGGCAACTTTGCATGTAGGCAGCCTCGAAATAAATATTTCCTTGTGAAATGTAGAGAGGTACAAAGTTGCGGCAAACTGAAATACTGAAGTTAAAATAAGTCCTATTTCTCGAAGTTAGTACTGGTATTTTTTTCCTCTTTTAGTCCTAATGCCCTAATTGTTGAATATTTACATTATCTCACTAATGGGTCAGATTTGCTTATAGAAAAGATGGATGGGTCACAGGACAATGATACTCCAGCTTGTGTACAAACTAATAAATCAGTAAACCTGAAATGGCACACTCCATTTACATTAATCACAATATAAGAGTTCTTGGCCTGCTAGTTACAATAATATTATATCAACTGAAACATTTCCAAACATAGCTTATTGCTTTGCTTATATAACGGCTTGCTTAGCAATAAAATACCAGCAATCCTGGGATAACAAAAAATACCCATATGTCAGCTATTGTTAGGTACTGCTTAATAAAAAAAAAAAAGAATTATTGTTTCAAGTGATTATCAAGTTTGATTGCATCCATGTCTTGATGAGTCAATCCCTTAACCTCCAGTCATCTTTCTCTAGGTGTCCCTTCAGCTCCTCGCAACGTCGTCTCAGTCGTCAATCAGACATCGGTTATGCTGGAGTGGCATTCTCCACGTGACCTCGGACACCGTGATGACCTGTCATATAATGTCTTATGCCGCCGGTGCCACAGCAGTGAGCGCCGGGCATGTCAGCCGTGTGACGACAGCGTGGCATTCGTTCCAGGGAAGCGAGGGTTAAAGGAAACAAGGGTGGAGATCAGCAAGCTGCGGGCTCACACGTCGTACACCTTTGACATACAGGTTTGTCCATTGAGCAGAGAGAAATGCTTTTTTTTTTTAAAGCCTTATTTATTCTGGGAAGATTTTCTTCAGTGTGCATGCTGTTCAGCATTGTTAAAGGAATGCTCTTTTGAGGATCACACTTACTGCCTTTAGGCTTCAAACTTGAAGCCACCATTTAATCCTAGAGATTTGAGTGTATGTAATCAATCAATCAATCAAAATGTATTTATAGAACACTTTAGACATTGAAAGTGGACAGAAGGTGTCGTACAGAACAATAAATAAATAAAAAATAAAGACACTAATACATAGCTTACATGATGCATACAATACAAGTAAAAACAATAACAACCATACAATAAAACAATAAAATCAATCAATCAATCAAAAAAAGAAATGTCAACTTCAGTTTTCAAAGGCCAAGGAAAAGAGGTGGGTTTTAAGAAGAGACTTAAAAAAAGACAGTGAAGATGCCTGTCTAATGTGCAAAGGTAGATCGTTACACAGTTTAGGAGCTGCTCCAGCAAAAGCACAGTTGAGCTTGCGCTTTGTTGTGGGCAAACTTAGGAGCAGTTGATCGGCTGACCTGAGAGAACATCAAAGACATTTGATGTACTGACTCAAGGAACCCCGATCAACACGGGGGTCCCAGTAGTTCCACCAAAAAACATCACTTCTGTCTTACTTTCATTAAGACTAAAAAGTTCAAGAGCCATCCAGGCCTTTATGTCGTCAAGACACTTAAGTAACGGTACAACAGTTTTATTCTTTTTAAGTGGCACATAGATCTGACTTCCTTATTGTCCTTATTGTATCTGAGAGGCTGGTGGACCACTGCATACAACACTTTGTGAGAGCGACCCAGTTCAAATAAGCTCAGTTCAAAGCTGGTGAACGAGGATGATAGCGACAACTGCTTACATTTACACCCATTCTTATAAACAGTTGCTATTCCTCCTCCTCGGCCCGACGTCCACGGGGAGTTTAAACAGCAACAGTCATGAAATAAGAGTTCAGAAAACGTACTAGACTCACCAACTCTCGGCCATGTCTCAGTCATAGGCCTACAGAGAAAATCCAATCCCCGGGATGTGAAGAAGTCCTTAAGGACAAAAGTTTTGTTTGCTAGCGATTTAGCGTTTACTAAGTCAACCCTGACAGGAAACGGTGGGTCTACACCACTGATTGTATGAGGAACCTGACACAGAGGCCGCAGGTTCTGCAGATTTACCCCGCGCCAGCAGGGTTGAGGAGAGCAAGGGCCGCATGGCTGGAACACCTCATCCAGGCCAACAACAGGTACCAACCAGGAGTCGAAAGGGTCCAAGTTTTATTTCTACCATAATCAAACCTTACTAGGTCGTTGGAAGAAAACATCATCGGTGCCAACCTGCCAGCTGACTCACAGTGTCAGGAACAATTCCTGTGCAATAACCCAATAACTCAGCCACCTGTTTACTGGTTACCACTGGCTAACAATTCAGAGCTGCTCATACTGTTGTCATATTGTAGATACTGTATACCAATCCACCTACCTCGTGTTATAACTCCTGCACAAAATACCACACACACTGGCGCCATCTCGACCACTATTAGTCCAAATGATCTCAAAACTTTGTGTGATGCTCAAAGGTTGTAATTTTTCACACCACTGCTTGCACAATGTTTAGGAAAAATACTTTGAAATGTAACTTTTATGAAGATTGACTTACTTTATACTGAAATCTATAAAAACTATCCTAAAATATACTTAACAACTGTTACATATTCACTGTGATGCTCAAGGATACTGAGGCTACATAGATGATTGCTGACATGGGGGCTTTTATGCACAATTTGCAGTTACATCATGTTCTCTCAAACCACAAGGCCACCATGATGCCGATAAAGCCAGTACGATGGTGAACCTTTAATCTTCTGCCATCAGCCGCTTTTACAATCAAGGCTGGGTGTCTAAATCAAGGTCAGCTGTGTTGTAATTGTTAAGGTGGAAGAAGCTTGTTACATTACTTTCAGTTTTTGATTGTAAAATGTCATCTGATCTTCAGATCTAAATGTGGCCAAATCTTAATCATTAGGCCAGAGACCTCCTGTAGCTCAATAAGTCCAATGGACCTATTAATAAGTAACAGGATTTTTATAGGAATAAAAAAACAGTACATGATTCAATACTAGATCTACTCAATATTGTGGCCTTGATGCGTTAGTTGATCCATTTTGAAAGGTTGGGATGGACGGATAATGATATGATAATGATATTGATGATATTGAGCTGAAGCCAGCCACCTTTAAAGATGTAACTTAATTTCCATTGAGATATGATTTCTTTTTTTTTCTTCCAAAATTACATTTTCCACCAAGTGAAAAAACAGACAACTACTTAAACAAAATAAATGGTGGCATCAAAGTTAGGTGCCACTTATTTTCCAACATTTGTTTTGATATTAAAATTATCTGTGTATCTCTCTGTGTCATAGTCACTGGTGAAATGAAGAGAGCTTTTTTTGGTAATACTGATATTTTTGAATATTCAGAAAGTCAAGGAAAGGGGAAACACAAACTACAATGTGAAATGATAACAAAATAAGAAAATCAATGTAGAAAAACAATGTGTTGGAATGACTTACTCAAAGCTATAGAGCTTTGAGTAAGTCATTAAGCTAGTGCCACTAATTACCACACCTTTGTTCAATGATTTGCTATGATGGAAGACATTGTTTCGACAGTCAAAATGATTAACTGAGCTCATGACAAACAATGTGGCAGCTAATTAGGTGGTCTTTAAAGCGCACTCAGAACCTGTTAATTGTGTCTTTGTGTTGAAGAGATGAGAAAGACGGTGAGACTGTACAGTACTAATAAGACATTGGCAGTGCTTCCACACTGAAATGAAAACCATCTCATTGTTGCTGATAATTGACTCCCCCTTAGCAACCTTAACTCAAGGGCAGGTCAAATCAAATGAAATCAGTGTTTCCGGAGGAAGAACGGAGGCTATGTTTGAAGTTTAGGTAACGTGACCCCCCCCGTTATTCAGCATGCCTTTGTTGAGAAAGAGAGTATTGCACACAGCTTCAGGGCTTGTCACCAACCACTGAATGGTCCCCAGCAAAATTTTAATTAAATAACATGACACACCTGACCGCAACACAGCCACCTGTAGCTCTCTCGGTTCCCCTCGCTCCGAGACACTTTGCTCTGTTTGACTGTCTCTCTGCTGCAGGATGCTTCCCTCTAAAGCGGCTGTGAGCTGCACTTTCTCAGACATGCTTAAGATAACATTTGTGTGGATTTGTGGTGAGATATCTGTCTGATCAGAAGTGTTCAGATTCGGTTTATTCCTTTTTTGGGCTGGGCTAAGCCCTGGATGCTATAGTGTAGGGTAATGTTAGCAGCTTTGCCTTGAGCTAAAACACTACGCCAACCAGATATTATAAGGTTGGCAGACACATCAGTCCCCTCATCCTAAAAGTCTTTTCTCTTGAAACATTAAAATTGAAACATTCTGTTAGAAAATAAGAACAATAAGTCCTACATCTAACCTCTGTCTTGCTTGCCCAAATATGTAAGTTCAGAAGTCAAGCAGTTATTTAAGCAGGAAATAACAGTCTGATTACATTTTACCTTATCATACTAAATAACTAACTAGCTCTATAATGAAGTACAAAAACAATCTGTTTTGTTATCTCTTGGATCAGTTTATTTTTTGCCTGGGACATGTGTCTTTAGCCTCATTCTTTTAGAGTTCGGACTTCTGTACTTAAAAAGCTCGGACTTGCAGCTCGGAAGTACAAACTCCCGGGAACGGGAGCACGTAGTCCGTCATTCAGCAATTGGAACAGCAGCGGACCTCACATCTCCGTCGTAGCTCTGTCTTGACAAATCAACCACATTTTTGGTTATATATATATATATATATATATATATATATATATATATATATTCCCACATAAAAACTACTTAAAACTGCTGTATGTGACAGAAGAACAGCAATATTATAACTTACAGTTGTGAGTTTTCTCCTCCGACATATCCGCTTTTTGGCGACAAAATGCATTATAGGATACCTGGCTACCACACAAGTCACCACCGATACAGGCTCGGTAAAACGGGTGGAGCACATCTGAGTATTTGACTGTATTTGGCTAGATGCGGACATTTGAATTGGAACAGTACTTTGGCTGTGACTGATGACATTTCACAAGTCCACAAGAACACAAGTACAGAAAAGAACGCAGATTGAGAAACAGACTATATGTGCAGTGCGAGAACTAGGGCTGGGGTGATTCATCGACATAGTTGACGTAATCGATTACGTAAATACGTCGACTCGCATTACGTGCGTCAAATTTATTGCCTTCATGTTAAAAGTAATTTCTGCCCCGCTGCTGTCATGGCAATGTAACGTTACACCGTATGTCATCAAATGTTCAGCTGTTTCATATTTTCTGTTTATTTAATGGCCACGTGTGAGCGAGAAAACAGCTGAAACTAACATTACAGACAATCTGTGACTGTCTGCACAGTCTGTAAATCGTTTCAGTTGTTTTCTTTGCCCCATACTGATGCAGAAATACATTTGCCTGTGATTATCATACTGCATTAGTCAATATTGAAATAAATCCATGTCAGAAACATTTAAAGTTTGAAGTAAAGTAGCCTAATTAATGTCTGTTACTGTTATTATCACAACACATCAGTGACGTGGAAATTGGATTCATTTTAAGATATGCTACTATTGATTATTCGAATGTGCTTCATCAGGTTGATTGAATAAAATATTGATTTATTGATTAGACATGATTTTGATATTTATTTTGGATAAACTGGTATGTTAATCGAGTAATAGGCAACATTTTTTTTCTTTAGAATATCCAAAATTAGTCGTTAGATTAATCGTCTAATCAAAAAAATAATTGTTAGATTAATCGATTTGAAAAATAATCCTTATGTACAGCGATAACAGAAAGCTTGACAGGCCTAGCAACTGCAACTAATGTCTGTAAGGAGGAATAGCTGACCATTACATTTTGTACTCTACAGGCAGTCAATGGAGTCTCCAACAAGAGCCCTTATCCCGCCCAGCAACTGTCAATCAACATTACAACCAATCAGGCTGGTGAGTGAGGATTGCAAAAGCCGTGCACGTGTGTGTGTGTGTGTGTGTGTGTGTGTGTGTGTGTGTGTGTGTGTGTGCAAGCATCAGTGTATATGTGTGCAAGCATACCCTGGGGCACAGTGGATTAGGCTGGCTAGGGGGATAAAGGAAATTGAGCTACAACCTTTTAATTCATAAAACATGTTATAAGCTTGTCATCTCTCTCCCTCTGTCTGCCTTTTTCTCCCCCCTTTTCTGCCTTTCCTGCACATTCACAGCTTTCATCCTGTTTTCCTCCTTCCCTCTGCCACTCCCCCAGTATTTTTTCTTGCCTTTATCCCATCTCTCTGTCCCTCTCTGAGTCTCTGACAGTGTAATTCTTGGAGACTATAAAGTGAGCTGAGTTACTGCTCCATCAATACTTTATGGAGACAGACACAAGTGATATTTCCACCGCTACCCAAATTTAGATTTAAAAGCCGCTTTACTCTGATGGAAAACACATCATTTACCTCATCTACAGCAACCCAGGCTCAATCCTAATCGAAACATGATCCATTGTCACCCTGCTGCTTTTTGAGCGCATTTGTTACTGCTGACTACCGGATGAAAAACTCTCTTATCCCTGAAATCTTTTAGGACTCAACAAAAAATGATTTATTTTCCGGTTGACTGCACTGCGAGAGGGGATGGTGTTTAAATTATGCACTAGGTTTAGCGTATATCAAGGGACCTTAGGATATGAAACTCACTCGACATATAGACAACCCTGTAAAATGTCAATTGCGGCAATATTTAAAAAGATTGAGGTTTTCAGGTTTCAGCTTGCTCACGCTGTCAAAATATGAAACAGAAGACGTATTTGGCCCATGAAGTATCACAGCATTTACTGAGGATTATGGTAGTTCCATGATGTCCTTATGACTCTGCTGTCTAAGATGCATACGTTCTCATTATCAATATAACTTACATCGTTTTGATACTTGTTACTAGTGTAGTATCAATCTCCATGTCTTGATTCACCTCCTCTCTCCACTTTACTCTAAGTACAAATGTGATGAAAACCATCTCATAAAAGAATCCCAGAGGCAAAACCATGAAACACATTATAGCTAACAGCTTCTGGTTCCTAAAATTATGGGTAAAATGCATTGCAGACATAACTCTTCTTTCTCCATCAGTGACAAGAGCAGTAATTTGTTTTCATGAGGCTGGATGAGGAAACATTTTTCTCCTTTGGGTGTAAATAATCCTTGGCAATATGTCATTAAATTACACACTATATTTCCATATTTATGGTGTTTAAGCATGCTAGTGAATCTTTTAACTGCCTAATTGATTGTGTGTATTTTTGTGTGTGTGTGTTTTTAACAGCTCCCTCAGCAGTTCCCATAATGCACCAAGTGAGCTCAACGAGCCGCAGTTTCTCGTTGTCATGGCCACCACCCGAACAGCCCAACGGGATTATTCTCGACTACGAGATACGATACTATGACAAGGTAGAGTGGGATGATAAATGAGTGTTTGTGTGTGTCTGTGTGCTTTTTGGTGTTATGGTCACAGCCAGTAATCCATTAGAGTTGATAAAATGGTGGATCAATATCAACTCCATCTAAGTCATCTATTATCAGGACTGTTACTGAGCAGCAACACTCTCACCGCATCTCAAATATTTCAGCTCATAAAAAGTCCTGCGCACACCTTTACAATGTGTCTGTCTACAGCATCCTCATGTGGACAAGAAGTCACAACAGTTCATTATTTATACACAGATGCTGGGTAAATTAATCAATCAGAGGACCACAAAATATTTGGTCTGTTGGTAAATGAAACACCTTGAGAAAACATACACATACCATCCAGTTAATTAGATAAAGAGGGTATTTTTACTTAAAGGAACAGTTCAATATTTTGGGGAAAAAAGCTCATTAACTTTCTTGCTGAGTTAGTTGAGAAGTGTGATGCCAATCTCATGTCTGTCTTGGCAACAGCCAAGAAATGGTTAACTTAGCTTAGCATAAAAATACTTGAGCTAGCCTTGCTCAGTCCAAGGCATACTTGCCAACAATGAGACCTCAAAAATACAGAGGATTTTGAAACCAAAGTGGAGATTCTGAGTTTCTGAGACTTTGTTTCCTGCATTCTGGTGACTTTTGAAGAATGAAAACAACAAGCTCATGAGTAAAGTTTCACAGCAGCAGCATTTTAATGTTAAATACTTATAATAATTACTAATACTTTTTTTTCTCAGGAAGAATATAGAATTATTTGTCCCTGCGGTTGTGAATAGAGTAAAATTATGTCTAGGTCAATGGGGACAAAGAACAACTATTCAAAATTTTATGAATGCATAATTAATTTTTTCATCCATATCCATCCAACTAAAACTAAAAAAAGAGTAAATATGGTGATAATTTTTAATAATAAAGTGTAATTGTACTTTTTTTATACCTAATGGCACAATGTCCCCAAGTGGAATTGACCTAATGTAAGCAAGACAGTGTGTAGGAGTATTTTTCACCTAAGTTTATTGGGAGATATCCTTTCAGCTATTTGAGTAAATAACTAGAATTATTTACTAAATACAGCAAAGCCCACTGTTACACCTGACATGACAGATGCACACACAAAAGAGTGACATTACGACAGAGTTGGTGTGTTTGGGAAGTGTGTTTTGTGCCCATTCGCCAAAATGTTTCTCTAAAATAAAAATTATTGCTCAATACTGTATAGCTTTTATAATTTTCCTATTGTTGTTAGTTATTTCCTGTCACTTACTGTAGCATAAGTACTAATGACTGATAAAATAGCATTATTATCATTATTATTAGTTCAGAGACTGGGATGTGGTGAATGCTGCTCCTCATAGACCTGACATGATGATTAATTAAGGACAGCTGAAAGCAGAAACATGTCAACATATTTTTAGATTTAGAATCCCTGTAATTGATGTATTTTCTCCCTCACTTGTGCTCAATGGCTATTGAAGAGTTGGGTTCATGCCTCATCTCTATACAATATTATTTCATAATAAGTCTGGATTGATCTTAGAGCTTCAATGCATATTTCATGGAGCCTGTAGTCATACTGACAGGGTTTTACAGTGATGGAGAGCCTCTTTATTCCAGCACACATCAATTGGTGATCGTAGTCGTTGCAGCTAAAATGAGCATCCATTCATAAAAAGTGGCTACAGTGGGATCTTGTCAAACTATAAAACTACATTACTTCAACTAAATTGTCAAATGAATGTTTATTGATTAATTGAATCTAACAAAGCTGTGTATGTTTTTTTCCATGAGCAACTGATGAAGTAGTTTGAGGTGCCACAGTTCTGGCACCTCAAACTACTGTTTTCTCTGGAAGATCTAATTAAATTGGTCAAATAACTCACAAAAGAACTCATGGAGATCTTGTGCGTCTTGTGCAGGCCACTCTTCAGTTAATCACAAAAAAAACAGAACATCATGAAAAATTTAAATGACAATTATGGACAGTGACTTTAGACAAACTTAAATTTGACCAGAAAATGAAATGAGGTGTTATAAAGGAATATAATCATACGTCTTAAGTAATTTTTTTAATCATATTATGACACGTTTTCTGAGTCTGGATGCCGGTTTTCACTACATGCTCTTCATGGTGAGGGTTGCACATATTCTAAAGTCAGTGGGGAGGAAAGTTACAGTGTTTGTGGACCACAGCCCTCAATATTGCTGTAGTGTTTGTTGAGCGAGATTGTTTCCTAGATTCATCTCCCCAGCTCACTATTGAAGTCTCTCTGTGGACCTTGATGTCTCAATATGTGCCAGAAGACATCACAGACCACTGGTTGTTCATAGTTACCTTTATTTATTAAGGCCAATCCGTCTTCCCAGAGAGATAGACTCATCAACATCTCTGTAGGAAACCATCCATTCATCCAGGCTTGGATATTGAGGATTTCTCTGTCCCAGAAGTGGAACAAGAGATATTCAAAATTATTCTTTGTATTCTCTTTATCAATGATCAGCAAGTGTACTGATAGACAGAAAATATGCTTGTTGAGAAGTCCTTTAACTGAACTCTTGCTTTATCCTTCCCACTCTGCACCACTGCGGTAAGAATCGAAGAAAACTTCCATCTCTCAGTAGTCTTCTGGACTTGGGGACAGTTGCTTATCCAGGGCCGGGTCAAAATAGTCTAGGTGTCTCTCTCCCCGGGTAACATCTTCCAGCTCCTTATGAGGATCCTGATCATGATATATATAATCCCTCCAGTGTGTTCTGGTTCTAGCCCAGGAACTCCTACCATTTGGACGCGCCTCCTTTCAATACGATGGAGAAGCAGTTCTACCCGAGCTCCCTATAGATGTCTGAGCGCCTTACCCTATCTCTAAGGGTGAGCCCAGCCAGTAAAGAAATTCAACAAGGAAACTCATTTCGGCCCCTTATCTCATTCTTTTGGTCACTACCCAAAGCTTGTGACCATAGTTGATGGCAGGAAGGTAGCTGTACTGGTAAGGTCAAAGTTTCATCTTCAGGCTGAGATCCTCTCTTCACCACAACAATTCAGAACAACGCCCACATTGATGCTGCCCCTTCAGAGAATCCGCTTTCTTCCTTGCACATCCCTGCATGACCCTGAATTCACAGACTCTAAATGAAACAGCAACATACCTTGCCTGGAACAGGGAGATGAGAACACCCTCCTGGATCCAGACCTCAGCAGAAACAATATTCTCGACCCTTGTGAAAGTGCTGTTTCACTTGTTTTTAGTATTTTGCAAACGAGAATATAGCGTGATGAAAAAAGAAGGTCCTAATCTGTACGAGACTAAGGCACAAAACTCTCCAATGAACAAAGTAGCCGGCATACTGTAATGAATGTCCAACCCAGGGCACGAATGAGAGCCTCTGATTCAGGATTGAAAATTTCAGTGCGTAGCTGATTGCTTTCCAATCAAAGACCGCTCCTCTAGGGAAGAAAAGACTCCAAACAAAGGACAAACTGTGGCTATATCTTCTCTTCTTTGTAATTCAGTCAGTGGAAAGCAATGCAATTGGAAACTGAAAGTTAAATTAAAAGCATATCTATCACCCAAAGCTAAACATAAAAATATCCTCATCTTTTCTGAAGCTGAGCCAACAGCTCCAAAAACAGATAGACTTTCACTGCAGATTAACAACAAAGAGCAAAGCACCTACAAGGGATTGTGTGAGATACACCAAATAGAACAACATGCCTCCTCATTCACAGCCCACATTTGATTCCCTGCCATCTTCCAGTTTTTACAAAACTGAAGAAAATTGTTTTTTTGGATACCACTGCAAGTTTCTGTGCTCATTTTTTCTTTTTAATACATACTGTCAGTGACTCTGTGCTTCCGTAACTCACTTAAACTCTGAGATAAAACAGAACTACAAACTTTAAATGCTCAAGACTCATGTCAACTCTCTTTCTTATCTATTCACTTTGATGAAAACAGCCACAGTTATAAAGTCCATGACTCCAGAGGGCTCACTCACAGATTCCAATTTCCCGGCACAACATGGTATATGGCTATAATTTTCCTGTGCTGCATAAGGGAAAGAAAAGAGTGTGTATGTGTGTGTCGTTTTTATTATGGTTGTTATTGCTTCTCTTAATTCACTGTGCTACGTACTAATATGTAAATCCTAAACTCAATTCAGCACTGACACTATTAATCATTATAAGTTATTAAACTATTACTATTTTGCCTTTATGTATGTTGAGGCTTTTGATTAATAGCAATCAATTTTCAACAATATCAAGTAATAATTAATGTAAGTTGGTGCATGCATTTAGTATGCACAGTATAATCTTGCCATCCTACAAAAGTATATTTTTTATCAGATTATATAAAGTCCAATCTTTTTACATTACAGATTTTAAAATATGCTTTGTCCGGTCTTACTCTAACATTTTTATAATGCCAATAAATTGGTCATCGCATGCATATCCAGTGTCTAGTATAATGGAAGCTGAGTCGCAACTATCCTCATTACTGATCTTCTTTCATGAAATACAGTTTGATGAGATCTTTCAGAGCTCATAAAGTGTAATTTCTCTTCAGTTAGTGAATGCATTCATGCCAATATCAGAATGTGCTACCCGAAGGTTCCAAGAAGAAACATTTGCAGATCCTGGTGTGCAGACCTCACTGTTGTTCAGATATTACCTGTTATAAAAATAGAGACTTTCCTCTACAGAAGAAGTTCAGGTGGAAGGTTGGCTGTAAGAAGTGTCTAACTTTGTCACCACAGACCATGGCTTACGTCTGGTCTCTTATCAACAGTCAACATTGATTTCTTTTGACCATAACTACAGAGGTAGCATATCAGAAAATGCTCATTTAAAACAGCCATATTGGTCATTTTGGAAGGTATTGGATAAATAATAAGCTTTGTTGTTGTTATGTGTGAGGGTTGACTGGAATACTAAACCATACCCACTGGAACATAGTGAGCAAAAACGGCAAAAACATATTTAAATATTAGACAAACTTTTAGGCAGCACCCTTAGCACCCCTACTTCCTGCTGTTTGGTAAAAGAGAAAGATAGAGAATAGCAGGAAGAAAAAGTCAAGACTTTGCCTCTCGGAGAGCAATTAGAGTGAGTTGAGGACAGAGTGAGAAGAACTGCACTTGCTGAGAGATGTTCTGTAGCTGCAGTCTGACAGTCACAGATAAAACCCTTACTTTGTCAAAGTCAGGGCAGGGACTTTACTGTAAGTCGGCCTTATTTGCAGCTGCCTTTGCTTTAACATTATTTAACATGGAAGCCAATTAGGACCCAGAAGCGAAAGCTGACAGTTTGTCCTTTCATTGTTTCTTCTTTTCATTCTTCTGTATTTTACACTATAGACAAGCGAACCACCACCGCCAAGTGACTAATTTTAGCTCATAGCTTCAAGTGAAAAAGTCCTCAGGGAGCAGTTTGATAAGCCTGGAGAGAGAGTGGGCAGTTTTTTTCTTACCAGACAGCTGCACTGTACCTCCTTTTTTGGTACTTTGTCATTTCCCCATCTTCCTTCCATCTTCTCCTTCATCCCTCCCCCCCTCCTCCCGTCATAGCCAGTCTATAGATAATGAGGTTTTAATGTAGTAAATTTGATATGGCACAGGGAGGCAGGCTTTTTACCCACTACTTATCTCTGGCTACCAGACCTCCCCTGATGGGCTGCCCCCTAACCTTTTCACTGTGGTAAGCATAACACACACACACACACACACACACACACACACGCCTCTCCAAATCCAAACCCCACCCTGTCACAGTACCCCCATTTCTGTGGCTACTTCCAAATATAACTCTCTATCTTATTCTCTCTAAGCTTTTATCACCCAGCAAACTCTGTGGTTGTCCTCATTATGACAGTAGGACTTTGGCGGGTCACAGTACAGTATATTAACAGTGCACTAAAATAAATGAGAGCTCTATTAAATACAGCAAATCATGGTACTATAGGTACACAGGATTAATGCTAATAAATGACACAAGACATGTCATATCATAATAGTAACAATAAAGATGGCCACAAGCAGCAACAAAAAAACCCTCAATCATCCTAACCCCCTTTTTATTCAAGTGTCCTCTTTTGATAACCCTCCCTCTTCCTCTCTCTTCCCACCACCAACCCTCACTTCGTTCCCTCCTGAACTCCCTCCTGATCACCATCATCATCTCTCTCCCTCTCCTCTCCTCTCTGCCGTCGACCCCTCTACCTCCTTCATCCTCACAGCACGGTTCCCTCCCCCTCCTTTTATGCCATCACCACACCATATCTGCCATTCCCTGTGGACCGTTTTGATTTTGCCGCAGTAAAACCTTTTCTTTATCTGAAAGAAATGGTGAGGGGAAGCATAGAAGGAAGGCATAGAAAGATAGAGGTAAAAGGTTGTAGCCTTGGGTTTATGAGATAAGCCTGATAGGTGTGATGCCTAATTCACCTCAGGAGGACTAGGCAGAAAGAAGACCAAAGGCTCTGTTAGATCTGTCTCTGTGGCCAGTAGCTAATTAACGACATTATTGCTTTGTTATATTTTAGGGAGATGGAGTAAAGAACAGGTCAAAGAGGTGGGAAAAGGAGCAATAAGTCAAAGAGGAAGATACTGAAGAGATATATTTTCTTTTAAATATGAAGAGGGTAGTTGTGGACAAAATGTGTGATGACTGGGAGGTAGATGGGAGGAGAGAGCAGAGTGGGACAGAAGGAGATTTAAGGTGGAGGAGATAAGTGTGAGGTGAAAAAGGGGCTTCAGGAAAAAAAGCAATAAAGATGATGACAGAATGTAAACAGACAAGTTTTGCGAGGTTCTCCAACGCAGAGGGACTCTTAAAGGTTCAGTTCACTCAAATTACAGAATAACAATTTTTTTCAATCCTAGTGGTGTCTTGCATTTCAAATAGTTTTGGGAGGCTTTGAATTATACCCTTTTGCCTTCGCTCTGTCACTACCCTAGTAAAATGGGAGTAATTGGAATTCCGTGTGTGCTGTAGAACAACACTGGAATTGCATTTATAATTAATGGCAACTTGTGTTTTTAGAAACAATGGCCTTTTTGAAACTTCTACCCCAATAAAATGTATGTAAATCAGTTTTTGCAGATGCTGCTAGAAACACTGAAAAATATAATTTGTAAAAAAATTCCCCAGCAACATGACCAGGTCACTCAGGACAATAGTGGTGAATAGTGAACTTTCCTTCAGTAGATAGTAGTTCCAAAAGTACTTGTTATTGGCTGTTCATTGTGGGGTCTGTCGATAAACAGTATTTCTGGAAAATTGTCTGTGCTTTGATTAATGCGAACAAATTCCATTTCTCTCCATTGAATTAGGTTTGAGGCCTATATCTCAATATAGACAAATAAAACGAAAGGCATTTCCATGTCTATACAATGTACCTCTTTAGTAATTTTGGTAAATTGAACCTGTAAGGTGTGAATAAATCGATAGAAACAGACAGGCAGATGGATAATTCAAGTGTATGGAGAGCAGAAACAAAATGAAGTAGAGGATATTTTAACTGTTCTTTTTTACTGTTGGGGAAAAAATGGAGAAAGACAAAAAATGTGATAGAGATTGGTACGGTGTGACAACATTCCCATATTACTTCAAACTCAAAATGTTGCAGTTATACCATCCTGCCTGGGTGTCTATTGTGTCACAGGTTGAAAATGGTGAATGCCTCAGTTTGAGCTGGAACTGGATGAATTAATCTTATCTTAGCTGAAGGCCAAAACAAAGTACTAAATTTAGTCTCTTGTCTCTTAGTCTGTGACTGAAGAAGTATTATAGTCTGTTTTGGATTGCCGTAAAACATATTCATCTCTCTCAATCTCTTCTTCAGTCCCAGTCATCAGTGCTGAACAGTTCAGAGATCCAGAGCGAAACACCCAGTGTTGTCCTGGAGGGTCTGAGGCCGGGGACCGGCTATGTGGTTCAGGTGAGGGCCCGCACTGTGGCCGGCTACGGAGCCTACAGCAAGGAGATGCTCTTCCAAACACTCACCGACGGTAAGCGTGTGGGTGGTTGGTATGAGTGTGTGGAGGTGTGTGTGTCTGTGGAGGTTTTACGGTGGTGGAGAGGAAAGAGAGTGCAGGACTGAGAGGGGAAATTTGAGAGATTGAGCAAGAGTGAAAATCTGGCTGTGAAGTAATTAAATTCTGCCCTACTTTGTTTGTGTGTGTGCGTGTGTGTATGTGCATGAATTTGTGTGTGCTTGCAGTTATGTAAAATGAGCCATGTAAATTATATTTTATGTGTGTTAGAGAGAGAGAAACTGTCAAGTGTATATTTTCCCTTCCAGCAATGCTCAACTGTGTGTATGTGTGTGAGAGTTTAAAAAAACCCCATCTCTTTTCACTGTTTGTGCCTGATTGTGTGTTTGTGTGTGTGTCTCTGCAGATGAGTATAAGTCAGAGCTAGGACAGCAGCTCTCCTTGATTGCAGGCTCTTTGGTAGGTGGAGTGTGTATCGTCTCACTGGTAGCTATCGCCATCATCTGTACCAGGTAACACACAGGCACATACATACACACACCACATCTTATACACATCCACCCACACGTGCTGCATAATATGTGGGTCATGGGAATATCCTAACTGATAGGGGTAAATACCCTGTTACATACATTACATACAATACTTTGAATTGTCCGTTCAAAATGTCCTTAAGCCCGGCATTGAACATGTTCTGACTTTATAGGATTCAATGCTTATTAAATTTCCTTTTTTTATCTGGTAATGTGTCTATATACATATTTTAAAATGTTTGAAAATCAGATACTAAGTCAATGATAAACAATAGGGGTGAATATCATATTATCTTACATATCATTACTTATCATATATTCTCAGCATCCCAAACCATTTTTTGTCCTTTTTCACAGCAGACACTTTGACTTGTCATAGCAGGAAAAGCACAGGTGTTACTAATAAAATTAACAATGGCTCTGTTCTTTTCAAGTGTCCCAGTAAGCCATGACAGCATGACAGTGAGCCAGCATGCACAATACAAGGACTTTGAAACAGAAGCAGCTAAATGGAAGTCTTCCATCATTAATTGACACCTGTGCTTTTCCTGCAGTGAAATGTCAAGATGCCATTGAAAAAGGCCTATTGTGACAAACATTTTCAGAGCTTTTGTCCACATCTCACAGTCTAGTACTTGAGTCACCTTATAAAAGATTTACAATTCCTACCTCCCTATTACAACTATCTGTTATCATTTGAAGCTCGATACTTTGGTCATGTAATGATCATTGAGCCATTTCCATGACAACTACTGCATATCTGCCGAGGAACACTGTGAGATCCTGTTGAAAGGTAGAACCTTGTCAAAAATAATGTTTCCAAGGTCAACAATAAACTTTCACATTACCCATTTATTGTTTTTTGTTTTATTAACATGTTTTTTTTTACATAAAACTTTGCTTACAACAAGAGGACAATGTTTACTTTAAGTGGCAGTGCACAATGTGCATTGGAACATAAAATCCATATGAGAATCAGTTTAAACAGATTTGCTAGTTTAGACAATCTGGGTATTTTTTGGAGAAAGTTGGGAAAACCCAAGAGTAATTAACTTGTCAGGTATAAATTACTAGGTATTTTTTTTTGTGTAACCATATGCAGCTGCATAATTATGCATACACATTTAATAAGATGTAATACATTACACTAAACATTTTATAATAATAATAATGCAGATAAAATGGCCTCTGTACGAGAAAGTATTTTAAAGCTTTCTTGATGTGGCAATTTATTATACTTCCACAACTCTTTGAAAGACTTTCTTAAATGCCTGACGTTTCTGTGACCTCATAACATTCCAGAAATAACAAGCTCCCTCTCTCTATATGTGGTATAAGGTGTCTATTGTGAAGATCAGTTGACGTATTAAAATATTACAAAGAAGAGGAAATAAAAGCTGACAACACAGAACAGTAACATGTTGCCTTACTGATAAAAATACTTTTTCCTTCTCTCAAGCAGACTTTTTTCTGACATTAATGAAAACTATTTATTTTAACACAACTCAGCTGAAGAGAAGACAGCCAATTAGCATTTCTAACTTTTGTGTAACATTTCTGTCTGCTTGCCTCGTTCCCCAAAAACTCTCTGTTTTTGTTTCTGTCTATAGAAGAAGGCAGTTGAAGGAGAGTGTTTACGGTGATAAGCTGCAGCAGTACAACACAGGAGGAGGTATGACCAATATTGAAACTTTAAATAAGCTCTACCTTCATATATGCTCACACACACCAAACCGCCAAAACCGTGTTTATATTTGTACTTTCTAATTCTTTCCTCAGAGGTGACTCTGAGGCCTGACATGTTCAGTGGTCCCGCCCCCACTGTGACCTTTCCCAGCCTGTCCGAAGGTCACAGTTCACCAGGGGTCAAGATCTACATTGACCCTTTCACCTATGAGGACCCCAACGAGGCTGTCCGGGAGTTTGCCAAGGAAATCGACCCCTCCTGTGTCAAAATAGAGGAGGTCATTGGATCAGGTAGATATTTCTTTGGACTTAGTGTCTTTGACTCTGGCTTTGGCTTTCCCTTCCCTTCATGTACATCTCTGAAGATGAACAAATACCTAAAGTGAAAATCCATTAAATCCATTTAATATGTGTCAAATATTACTGTGCATTCATTTGTACAAGAGCTTTGTTGAAGAGTAAGATAAAAAAAATAAAGTTAGTACTATAAGCTGTTTCAAAAGTGAACGTTGGAAAAGTAAACCTTGATTTCCTTTAATGAGATCAACTGTCACTTGAAACAACACATACAGTAAATTAATCTGTTTCTTCAACTGTGCCACACTTTGTGTCAATAAGAAGGATCTTGAAACGCGCAATGTCAGTTTATTATTTTGCTTTATTTTTTTACTTTGAAGTCAGGAGAGATGTTTTATTCATGCTGAAAACTTTCACCGCAATAAATTAAAACTGTCTTCATGCATTCTCTTTGGCTATCTGAGCTCTCACTGTAAAAATGCTGTGTGATGTTTGGCAAATAGAGAAAGTTGGATGTGAAATGGAGTCCCAGAGCATCCTCTGAAGTTTTTTGTGGGGGGGCTAGCTAGGAGTTTTTGCATTTCAGCTGTCTGATGAAAAAAGGGGGAAAAAAGGTGAAAACAAGCAAACTTTGCAGTTGCTAAGATCAAGTACCTTATTTTACCACTGATCACTACTGCATACTGAAACTATACACCTTCACTATACCTTCAAGCAGCTTAGCTTTATTGTCCCCAAGTGGATCCAAGTCAAGTCGAACACAGACACACACATGAATAAGATTAAAGATAGAATAGATAGAATTAAGATAAAATTTAACGTGGAGGTTTATGGGAATTGACTCAATTTTGGAGCCAGCCTTAAGTGACCATTTGAGGAACTGCAGTTTTTGACGCTTCTGCGTAGGCTTCATTTTTCAGCACCAGAGGTTGCCGCATGGGTAAAACCCGCCACACAAGGTCATAAATAGGTTCACAAAATGTGCACATTCAGTGAAATTACAAAATACGACCAGCAGTACATCCAGTCATCATCATCCGTTGTAGGGCTACATGCATTAAAAAAAAACTTGTATTATATATGCATCTATCACTTTTATTATTGTTGTGTTCTTCAAATCAAACTCTGTTCATTGTTTAATTTGCATTATGCCTTAAAAACTATTGTGAATACAAAATACTGAAGAATAACCTCAAGCTCTGCACCAGAACATATTACAATTATCATAAGTAGTGCTGCCACCTAATAGTACTAAACTGTTAGTCGATGTAACGGCTTTTAGTCAACCAAGTTTTTATTGGTCAGTTAGTCGTAAAAACAACAACCTCAAGCTCCATTCGGGAGCTTTATCTTGTCATTAGGACCGGGACGAAAGTAAGAAGTCACTTACCAGCACAATGCTTGTCAGTGCCATGTGGATCTTATTATATATCTATAGCACTGCTGCTGACTGTAGGCTTTGCCATTAGCTAGTTAGCCCAGTTAGCGGTCCTATTAGCTGACTCCACCCGGACTTGGTCCTTGGAAACCTCCAAAAAGACCTGAACCTCCCAGGTTCACTGTCAGTTGTCTTTTAGTACTTTGATTAATTTCAAATTTTGTAGTACATTATAACTGTCCAAATGTTATCCCCCAGAAAACTTTGGACCAAACCAATCAAACCAAATGGCCATGGAGCTCTGGTTGATAAAGGTCATGAACCAGATTCAGAATCTCACAGCTGAGAGTATATGCTTTCGGCTTTGGTCTGTTGAGCCACTCTGAGAGGCTTTCCGTAATCCCTCCGTTTCTCACTTTATTTCTCTCAGGGGAAGGTTTCTCACCTCGGCCAGAGGTGACAGAGAAGGAATGAAAACAACGGGGAGGGAGGGAAAAATATGAGCCTGGGTGATTGAGATGTGGTTGGACCTTGAGCCCTTAAATGGTTGAATCTCTCCCATTCTACTGCGATGGAAAGTAAAAACTTATCCACAGGTCCTTCTCTTTTTTCCCTCTCTCCTGCTTTCTCTTTTTGTTTTTCTCTCTGTATTTCTTTGATACTTCCTCCTATCTTCATCGCTCCCTGTGATTCAGCCCCGCTGGGGTTGTAGAGTTTGTTTGCGTATAGAGAAATGCTAAAACAAAGAACCAAGGGGGGGAAAGCAGAACAACAGATTGAGGAGCGAAGATAAAAGAAAGTACCCTAAGGAGATTGTAAAAATATCTCACCTCACTCTCTCTCTTCCTCTCCCTCTGTGATAACACCCCTCTTTTTTCCTCTTGCCTTATTACAATCACTTACACTGTAAAAAATGTCCTTTATAAAAAGCACTTTATTTAACTGAAGGCCAAGTCCTGAAAGGATCAATAATCTCAATTTACAGACCAGTTCATTTTATCACAGTATATTTCGATATACTGTCGCATTTCCTCTCTTTGTGAAAATTACAGTTTTTGTCCCTCTTCATCCATCCTTCATTCTTTCATTTCTGCACCACCCCATCTCTCCTTCCTCACCCCACCCTCCTTCCATTCTCCTTCCTATTTTGCCCTCCATCCATCTCTACCTCTGCTGGTTTACAGCAGTGACAGTAGATAGTTTTTAATGAGCAGCGAGATGTGGAGCAGAGATCACAGTGAGACAGGACGACACAGCCTGTCATCCAATTCCCATCACACATCCATTATTCACACACTGATTTTTATCTCAGGGATGGGGACTTTTATTATGAAGTGATATTCAATTTTCATGTCTCCAAGCAGCATATGGCTGAATTTAATTTTGACAAAAGACGTCTGTGTCCTTAGCACTGTAAGGGCATTTTCTGTACATTGAACAAGTTCAGGACATTGAGGTTAAAATCATTGTAGCCAACTTCATAAATCAACATAGCAATGCATAAATTAAGAAACATCCACAAAATGGTCCATGTATTGACTGAGCAAAAAGCAGATGTGGAAAGTAAGTAAGTACAATATATTTACTAAGTACTGTACTTTTCTGTAATATTTTGAGTTACTTTACTTGAGTATTTCCATTTTCTGCTGCTTTATACTTCTACTCCTACATTTCAGAGGGAAACTTTTTAACTTTTGAATCCACATTTATTTGATAACTTTAGTTACTACTTACTTTGCAGATTCAGATTAATATCATAAAATATAATCAAATTAATTAAAATTTAGTGTTTTTGAGGTAAGATATGATACATCACATATTATTAAATAATCAAATCCATAAACACAGAAATATCTGTGGATTAAAGCTTCACTACACCAATTTTACACATGATGATCCGTTTACTCGTTCCAATGAGTGTCTGAAATTTTCCAGGAGACGCTTTCTTCAAGCGTGCTCCGTTATCACCATATTTAAACAATATCTTCTCCCCTCTCTATGACGGTCCACCAGCCAACCCTTTTGTTTCTAGTTTTGATCCAACATAACCTGACCCTAAAGTCTTCTGTGATTGTGGAGAAGCTTTTAAAAGTCTGACAAAATAACCCGAATGATGCCATTATTATGAAATGGTATATAACCATAGAGTACTGTAAATACCAAATAGTCCAATCTTACTTATTCTTACTTCAAGTCAAGTACACTATCTAGCTTGTAAATAAGCTGAACTCATATGTGACCACACAGACTTCAGCATAATAAACTGATGCTACAGGGCACATGCAGGACAAATTAAACTGCACACAGAAATTGAACCTATGAGCTTCGTGTTTTAGTACTCTTTATCCATGAACTGACCTGGCTGCCTTTGTTTAAACCACGAGATAAGAGTTGAAGTGTGTTGTGCAAAGCCAAGTGCCTTAGAAATAATAATGGCACCGTCCCCTTTATCTTGTTTGCCATCTTTTCAACAAACCTTTTCTCACCCCTGAGAGAAGCTACTGAGGAGATTAAATTTTGGTTGCTCTTCCAGTCTGCAAAAATACCATCATTGTGCCCTTGAGCAAAGCCCTCGACACCAATCTGCTCCGCCAGAGCTGCTCAAAAGCCATCAGCATGAGACTGAGGTGCAGAGGGCAGCTCCCACAACTGAGAGAGTGTTTATGTGTTTAACAAGCCCTGCCCCTCTCACTTCTGCCCACCTCAGCTGCTGCAAAGTAAAATAACAACTTGTTTGACTGGTGGACTTTAAATAATGCATGGTAGCCCAATGGTATGAACTTCACCCCATCTGATTTCACAGGTGACCCATTTTACATCATAAGATGTGATTAAAATGCAATTATTAATCAGCCCCATTTATTATGTAATCATTTATTTAAGGGCTTTGAATTCAAAGGAGTATTAAAAAAACAACCATCCCTGCAATTGTTTTTCTCTGCTGAGTCACATGCTGTTTTTTGAAGAGCTTAAGTATATACTGCACTTTGTAATTTTGCTGTCAGACTGAATGCTTTAATTTCAGCACTATAATACTTTCTGCTTCTTCAGGTGAGTTTGGGGAGGTGTACAAAGGTCGCCTCAAGCCTGTTGGGAAAAAAGAAATTCCTGTGGCCATCAAGACCCTGAAGGTTGGATACTCTGAGAGGCAGAGGAGGGACTTCCTGGCTGAGGCATCAATAATGGGCCAGTTTGACCAACCAAACATTATCAGACTGGAGGGCGTGGTCACCAAGAGCAGGCCTACGATGATCATCACAGAGTTCATGGAGAACGGAGCACTTGACTCGTTTCTCAGGGTAAATAACACACTAATTGTACACACAGACACATATAGATGTAGCTACTATAACAGTGTACTGCTGCACTTTATAGAACATTCAGGAAAGAAAAACACTTTACAATACAGTAAGTAACAAGTAAGTAACAAATCAGGAACGACCTGATAATTAATCAGTTGTTAATAAGTAGTTCCTGAATATCTCAGAATCGAAGACTATATAGATGATAATACAGAACTACTAGAGAACAGAGATATTATATTAATGAATCATTACATAATGATTACTTCATAAATACCTGTGACTTGTTTTACTTTACTTATACAGCAGTTTTCAAAACAAACTTACATTTTTACATTTCAGGACTGCAATGAGGCAAATAAAAAAAAAATTGCTAGCATTGTTAAAATGCATTTTAAAATCATAAGATTTAAGAAGTCATTTAAAAGATGTTTCCAAAACCAATAAAACTTTTCTTAGCTGGATTGTAAAGCCTATGAAACAGTGGAGCTTGATAGTTCATTATTGAACTTGGAAACAGCAGTTGACAGTCTCAACCTAAGATCCACATACTTGCTTATTCTGGAGCTTTCTACTGTATCTCATGGTCCACATCAGCAGATTGACTTTGCTCAGTTGTCATGGAAATGTAAATGTTAAACTTTCCATGATGCCTATATTTAGGACTTATCTATCTCAACTTGAAGCTCCTGAAAGCTTGGCATTATTTCTCTGTACAATTAAATATTTGTAAGTAAGCAATTATCAAAGTAAAAATAATTTTAAAATAATAAGTAATTTCATCAGATTGGATTGATAATGACCAAAAAAAAACACCAACTGTCACAAGATTCTGATTCAGATGTTGCTAAATCCTGATTGGTACATCACAGTATGTAATATTGCCCTTTTCCAACAGAGCCCCACCCACCAATTAATAATTTGTGTGTATGATTTGCGCGTTCAGTCCAAAATAACAGATAAATACCCAAACAGAAAAACAGATCGAGAGGGGAGGATTGGGAGCTTTTGGAGAAAGAGACACAAAGACAGAAACAACCTCCTGCTCTTCCTTTTCCTTCCTGTGCTCTGTCCTCCTCATCCTGCCAGGCTGTCTGTCTGTCTGTCTCTTTGATCCTGCCCTCCTTTCGAGGCGCCTCTAAAGACAGAAAGAGAAACTCTTTGATGTTTGGTTCTCACAGCGTGACCCCTTTTGACTCAGAAATCATCCGCTGACTCATACATACATACAAACACACACACACACACAAACACACACAGTGATCGATCTCGCTGGTGTTGCTGTCCTAGCGTGACCATCTTGCAGACACAGGACCCAGAAGATCAATGTGTGTGTGTGTGTGTATGTGTGTTTACATCTACCTAGGAGAAGGTTTTGCCTGCAGAGGATTAGGCTAGAGGAGCATCAAAGGCACAGTTTGATGCACAAAGTGAATTAAAAGACACACACACCTTCGACTGGATGTCAGGGATGTTTATAAGAGACAGAAACTGTTGGGCCAAAGTGTAAAGAGTAAAATAGCAAAAAGATGTCTCACAACAACACCTAGCCAGCTCCTCAAAATATGTGTTGATGTTTGATAATCACCTCAGAAATTGTATTAATATTAAGGAGGATATTTGCAAAAATTCAGATTAATGATTACCACATTAATGATATAATAAAATTATTTTTTTGTTCATAATAATATAATAATAATCTGATTTACCTACTTCATATCGCATACTCTACATCTTTGGGACAGTGAAAGCTCATCTGTGAATATTATTATGAATTGGTCCATGTTTCATTATTCCAGCTTACAAACATATTACTGAACTGTTCTCCAAAGGGAAATGCTGCATAATTGACTCTTCTTCTATCCTATTTTAAAGCCACTTGTGTATAGCATCGGATAACTTGCATTTCCTATTGTATAGGACAAACTATAGACGTACAGCATGAAGCAAAACTCAGATTAAGGTGACAAAGATGTGTCTCTATTTACGTTCTGAATGATCACTTAATATGAAAACCGTGACCAAGGTGACCATACTTTTATATATGTGTCCACTAATGTTGAAAAAGTGTTAGCATGTAGCTAAGGGGTTCCCTATGCTAGTTTGTTTGACCACTTCTAAAGGCAAAAGTGTTTATACCTGTTTTGATTTACAATACTCAAAGATTGTTTTTATTAACTCTCTCCAAGGACTACATGTTGTTGGGTGTCTTTGTAGTCTCCACGCAAAGATTTATATAAATGGAGATAGGGGCCCACACTTTTGGACAGTGCTAAAAGTGACAGAGGTAGTTGCTTTGTTCCCTCGGCAGACCTGGACAATCGCTGCATGAAGTGGGTGTAAAAGTTGGGGTGTCGGTTTATGGGTTTTAGACACTGTTTTATGAACTTACAGACACTTTGAAGCAAGCTCCTTAACCCTAATCCATACACCTAACCCAAGACCCGGGGCCACAGTATTGACCCTTGTTAAGTTAAAAGTAAAACATATAAATCACATTTCCACAGCAACAGCAGTGATTAGACTGTGTTTCTGTGCTTTTTTTCCCCACTCACATCATGATCACATTACAGCCACATTTTATAACACGTAAATGACAACTGGTTTGTAAAAGGTACTTTTTTTCTCCCAAACATGTTTGTCCTGTCATGAAATTTTTTTCTCTAAATAACTCTAAAGTGAAAAAGTCTGATAACAAAAAATAAGAATAATGCTTTCATGGTTCATGGTTTTGCAGCAAAACGATGGGCAGTTCCCAGTGATCCAGCTGGTTGGTATGCTGAGGGGCATCGCGTCTGGAATGAGGTACACACACACACACACACACACACACACACACACACACACACACACACACTCCTGCTACAGAAATAAATTTTTATCATAAAGATGAAGAAGAAATTCTTTCAGACCTTTCAATTATTGTTGTATGAAATTAGTTTTTTTTTGTCCATCCATCCATCCATCCATCATCAAACGCTTATCCTGCGTACAGGGTCGCGGGGTAGTTTTTTATGTAACAATACCAATTCTAACATACTGAGATTTCATGTGGTGATATCCAATAACGTCTGGTCATGTGACTGACATCGGCAGCTTGAGATATGCTGCCTCCACATACTGCAAACTCTCTTTCTCTCACACACATAGATATACAAATTAACAAACACAAACTGTATTTATGGACGTTAGGAGCTCCACGACTTGTCAGCTTGGCAGCTTGAAACACTGCTAACATACGCACACTCTCAATAGTTCCTTTCTGTTCTTTTAATGCGGGTATCTGGCTGTGATAATGCACAAACATATACATGTACACAAACTTGAAATCCCATTCCAATTTTATCAAAGTGTGATAACACACACACACACTAAATCCCTTTGCTTCTTTATAGTAGCCCAGGTAGCTGCCAATGGATAACACACATTCACACAATAAATCCTGTTGATGTTACAGGTACCTGGCGGAAATGAGTTATGTTCACCGGGACCTGGCTGCTCGGAACATCTTGGTTAACAGTAACTTGGTGTGTAAGGTGTCTGACTTTGGCTTATCACGATATCTGGAGGAGGACACCTCGGACCCCACCTACACCAGCTCACTGGTGAGGACTGACACACCGGGACACATGCAAGTGCAAATAAATGTTCGCTCAAGAGAACACACTAATGCTGCATTCCTGCAGTGGCCAAAACTGCCTACTTGTCATGGTCATCAATGACATGGTCATTTTAAGTTCTAAGTAATTATCCCATTGAAAACAGTATGTTGTGCTTCACTGCTGTGGGTGACATATAGTATGGACAATGTATGAAATCTAGCATACACACTTCTCATTATTGTGCCCTGTAAGAATTGTGATGATCATTACCGTAACAGGTAATCTTTACCTTAAAGTTTATGACATACAGATATATGGGCTACCTATGTCCTGTGTTTAGTACTGAGAGATAAATGTGTAAGCGTGTACGTCAAGCATGGAACTAAAAAAGAAAATCAAATTTCGATCACTTATCTTCTCGTTTCTCTTTCTTTCCCTCAGGGTGGTAAAATCCCAGTGCGATGGACGGCTCCGGAGGCGATCGCCTACAGGAAGTTCACGTCGGCTTCAGATGTCTGGAGTTATGGGATCGTCACCTGGGAGGTGATGGCATATGGAGAGAGGCCTTACTGGGACATGAGCAACCAAGATGTGAGTTACTGCATGCTTGTGTGTGTGTGTGTGTGAGTGAGAGAGAGAGAGAGAGAGAGAGAGAGAGAGAGAGAGCTTTCTCTTGTTCTTTTGTGTTCTCACTGATGTCTGTGACTGCATAAGATTGTGTACGTTTACCAATTTTTTTGTTGCACACTGTCTTTCTGGAGTGTGTGTGTTTGTGCGTGTGTGTGAGAGAGAGAGAGAGAGAGTGTGTGGGTTGGGGGTGTGCTTGTTTGTTTCCTTTGCCGTCTCTCACAGCAGGGTGTCTGCATGTCTAGGAAAAAACATGGAAAATGAGGACATCAATTTAAGTGTCACAGAAATGTTTGTTCCCTGAAACATCAGACCAAAAGGCATCAGAATTTTGTTTTCCTGCTGATCTTTTCTTCTGGGAATATTTTATTGTTGTGACAACTTTATTCCAATTACCTTCACAGTATGATCAATTTGCTACAGCATTTATATACCTTATTTTTTTCTTTGTTCTGGCATCACAAATATGTTATTAAGTGGTTTAAGGTTACACGTATCCTTGTTTTTTAGGCTGGCAATATTTTAATAAGAAGTGCACAGCTGAATGCTGTTCTGTGTTAAAATGTATTGTAAAAAATACTGTCTCATCCGAGTATTTCATTTTACTGTTTAAACCTAAACTGGATCACGTCGTACAGTACATGAAAAAGGAGGTTCCAGAAGATCGGATTGCTGACATTTTTATTTTTAGGTATCTTTTCCGAGAAGAAATGTGATACACAGATTATAGCGAGTTTTGGCACTAAAACCCACTTCAAAGCACTGAGGCTCTAAATCCCAATTCTTGCTTTCTGAAACTATATATCTAATGAATGTGACACAGAGGAGCCTTTACAAGATTCCTCTTTGCCTTGAGTTTAAACTTTAAATTTGGTTTCTGTGGAAAATCTTCCAAAACATTGCTAAATGGCTTCAGTTGTGTTGAGTTTTTCCAATTTGGTTAGCTGTCCCACTGATGAAGAGCCCCTTCCAACTTATAATAGACACATATTTTCAACTAACAAAACAAAATCATTGCCAAATGTTTTTCAGCAGAGAATACTTTCCCTGTCTAACATCTACATCACTGTAACCATCCTTTCCCCCTTGTTTCACACTTTCCCCCATGCCTCTTACTTCCCCCCTGCTGTCTCTCCTCACCTCCTGTCTTGCAGCCTCACCCCTCCTTCCCCTATGGTTACTCCTGAGCAATATAAGCAGCCTATGCAGCAGTAATGACAGAGACAGTTTTATAATGGCAGTGACAGTGTATAATGATGGGGAAAGTGTGTGTTTCCACCATAGCTAACGAGGGGTCTGCCGGGGCATTAACTATGCATGAACCTCACACCCTAAACTCACACATACTACATACACACAGCTTAACCATACACATGCATGCAGGCAGACATGCATGAAGGCACACACACATACACACATTATTTCAAAGAACATGAAACGGTGAAATTGTCAGCGGAGCCACCACAGGTGCTGTGTTCGACATGAATTAATCATGAAAGAGAGCTGTGATGTTTTACTGCACTCGCTGCTATTTTGATTGACAGCGGTGCTTAGAAAGAATTTATGTGGCACAAAGCTTAAAAAGTGTGTTGAGGTCACGTAGAGTTCAGTGAGTGAACAGACAAATACCCAGCACTAAATTTACAGTAGTAGAAGCACCGCATTCCCTCAGCTCGCCGTTAGGTAGGCTTGCAAGTACACTAACAAGTGACATAGGCTTGTAACTGTGCTGATGTGTTATTTCAATGAATTTTATGGCACTCCTGCTTTGGCAAAGGCACAAGCCAGCATTAAAATGTGAACAAAAATGTAGCTGCAGCACCAAAACTGAAGACACAGTGCAACGGCAAGGTTTGGACTCCAAAGCTCAAATCACAAGTAGAACAGGTGCAGTTAAAGCAGCATTTACTAGGTCAACGATCAAAGCAAGGAGAGGCAAGGGGGTATAAGCTGGCAGGCAAAAGTCCAGAAACGGGCAGAGATCATAAAAAAAAGCAGGCAGGAAAAAAAGACAAAAGAATGGAACGCTTTGGCCGGAAGGCACAATAGAAAATCTGGCTGAGTGCTGAGGCTACTGAGGTAAACTATGGAAGCTAATGAGGGAGTAAGGAGCAGGTGTGCAGGTGGATGTGGAGGTCAAGCGATGGGGAATGGTACTGGAAACACATTGAGTATAACTGAGGGGAATGGCAGGGTATGAAATGACAGAGACTGTTAGTGACTGGCAGAACAATGACATTTGACTAACTCCAAACAACAAATACCATACAGTAATGACAAAACAATAGCACATGGCAATAATGAAGTGAAACGTAAATATTTGGTTTATCTGACTGTAATAACAGAATTAATTTGAAGGAATAGTTTAACACTTTGGGGATTATGATTATTATTATTATAATTATTCGCTGAGACTTAGACCAACAGCCGCTTAGCTTAGCTTAGCAAAAATACTTCCAATGTAACTACCTACCTGCATCTCTAAAGCTCACAAATTAACATGTTATATCATTTGTTTAATACGTACAAAAAGAACAACAACTGTGGTTTGATGAGGTGTTATGTGCGAACCTATTTCTTGGCTGGGTGCAGCAATTTCCTGGGGTTTTCATGTGATGATCAGTCTTCAGTGGTCTTCTCATCTAACTCTATAAGCGAATTGCCCAAATTGTCAGACACTTACAGTAGGGATGGGAATCACCAGAGGCCCCACGATACGATATTATCACGATATTTATGTTGCGGTTCGATTTTATTGCGATTTGAAATATATTGAGATATATTGCAATTTATTACCTTTTTCCAAATTCCAATTAGGTCCTTAAAGTCAAACTTTGTCAACATCTGTTTATCTAAAAAGATACATTTCTCTGTTTGTTCATATCACTTTCTCAGTACTCTATATGGTCCTGTTAAGTTTTCTAGTGGACTAAAAAGAAATAGACTTTATTATTCTAGTACCAAAAAGTTAAAAGTCCCATCTGCAATTTATATAATAAAATAACGATACTTGGCGTCCGTGTATCGATACAGTATTGCCATGGCAAATATCAAGATACACACACACACACACACACACCTCTATTCTACTCACTTAATGGGATCAATGTTAGTTAGCTAGCTTGATGTTGAATTTTTTTTGTTCTTATTCTTCTTTGGCGTTTTATTGCGGTTGGCATTACCGCCACCTACTGGATTAAAAAGTGCAAAATATTTACAATATCCACCCAAAGTGATTCCATTCACAGTCCGTCTAGTTATATTCAAGTTATTATATTATTATATTGGAGGTCGGTTCATTTTAGGCCTTCTGTGTCATATCCCACTGCAGGGGTCGGGGTCATCGCTCTTTGATGTGCATGCCTCAGGCACATGTATATGTAGATGAAAAGCCAAGTCAATAATTGTGGTCAGATTAATTTCCTGAATTCTGGTGAAAATTTCTGCACCAATTCTTTCCTTTTCTGCATTAATAGGAAATTAATTTCTGCATTAAGGAAATGTTTTTTATCTAGGCTACGTCAACGGAAACACAAAACTCAGGCAGCAGGTGACTTTTTCTTTCATGATTTAGTCTTTACTCTTTGTTGTGTCTTTGTTTGGGGAACTTCCTCTTTAAATGTGGCACCCTTTCACTTCAAAGATAAATTAATTCATTTTAATGCAAAACATTTTGCATCTATCCCACATATCTGTGTAATCTGATATCTCCAGAAAGATTTTTAAGTGAATAACGTCGTCATTTAATCACAATTCATAATATTTTTCAAAATCACCCCGCCCTATAATCTGCTGTTCATTACTTGCTCTGCTGATATGATAGAATTCCAGACAGACAGACACAGAACCCATTTTTGGACAGTATAGATGAGGCCTGTGCAAAACGAAACTCACTGAAAACACTTAACCACAAATCCTGACATGTTAAGTTCAGCAGCTCTGTGCAGCTCACATTCCCAACAGAGCAAGGCTGTGCTTCAGATTCTACATTTTTATATTGCAAAACTCGACCAGCTATGTTACCCGATCACAAATTGTCTGCCACTCACTGCACAAGAGCGGGTTCGCTTGATTCCTGTCACAGCGTCTGCCTGTGTCGCATCAGCTGGGTGGAGTATAATCGTGCCAAGTCGACGCTATCAGTTATATGCTACATTAGTTTTTCCAATGCGTGAGAAAATTGATGTATGGGGCGTGTGAAAAGTGTCAACTGCGTGAGTCTCACGCTTAATGCGTGACAGTTGGCAGCTCTGGTTGAGAACCATTGGTTTACATGAATAAAGTTTGTCATGTCAATTGTGATTATAAAACAAAATGTCTAATACAAACACTCTGAATATATCCGCAACTTGTAAAGCCAAAAAGTACTCATCGGGCCTCTAAAGAATAAAGTGTGGAATGTTACAAGATGATAGTAACTGGATATTTGATGTGGTAAAATAGCTGAAAGATTTATCGTGTTCGTTTATTTGAGCCATTAGGTTAGATAACAATGTGGGTTTTAAACATTACAACCATTATAATTAAGTTGGGGAGACATTTCGTAGATCATTTTCACATCCCTGGCACAGGGGGCAGAATAATTTGAGAAAGCACTTGATATTTCCCTTGTTTGATCATTTTATTTTGGGGTGGCAAGCCAGCTAGTTACTCTTTCAGTCAAAGGAGATTTAAATCCTGTGATGTTCAGGATAATTACAATCTGCACCCAAAGATATGCTGCCATATTTAGCAAAACCTCTCTGCAATACAAAATTCCTGCCTAAAAGTTTTCACAGAAAAACATAGAAAGATACTTATCTTTCTCAATTCTTGCCCTGGCATAATGAAATCAGAAGCTCCTCTTGTAAAACTACCTGCCTTGACATCAGAGACTGCAGCAGACATTACTGCTGCCTAGCGATGAATATCGGGCTATACTGAGCGACTGCACACTGTGTCAGGATAAAGTTCTCAAATGGAAATTGAATCCTCTTAGCTAATCCAAGTTTTCATTTTTTTTCTGTGGTTTTAAATAAAGCTGAATAAGGCAGGAGTTTTCCATAAAAATACACCTGTCTTTTCATCTGAAATCACAAAGGAGCTGTAACAGAGAAGACTATCCCATCCCCGTTGAACTCTTTTCTGCCAACAGCAAGCACAAATCAAAACTTGAGAGCAAAATATAAAGTGTCACCTAAACAGCAGCAAGACAGCTGGACTCAACTTTGGATATTTCTGCCTCTTTCATCCCTTTGATATCCTCAGCATCATAGACCAGCACCCTGCAGTTTGCAATTTACTGATGTCATATCATAATATTACATTTCTTTCAAAAGATTTTCTCCCCTCTGTCATTTATATCTCCCATTTCTCTTACTAGAGAAGTGGGCTTGTTTAAAAACAAATTTTCAGGTTTTCATGGAGTTAAAAATCCTCATATTTTCTCTTTCTGTAAATATATTTTTGAAAATTCATCATGCAGTGGGGGGCGTACATAAAACTATTCAATCAGATGTAGTTTAGGCCCACCATCTAACCCCTTTCATTATATCTCTGTTTACATTTCCAAAACTACCATGGATGCAGTCTAATTGACTGGAATTTATTCATTTCTCCCTCTTTCTCTGCCTCCTCTTCCAACATTGTGGGTGATGGAGGTGTGGGTAGAGGCAAACACTCCTGTACAATTGAACCCAGTTTCAAACTTCAGTAGTACCCCAGAGACTCTATGCTCACAAAAATCAAAACCACTTTCCAGCCATCAAATCCTTGAATGATTTGATCAAATCCCTCTCAAAGTTATACACTGCCCACATATTCCATTATACCTGGAACTCCATCACATTGTGGAAGCTGTAAGATGATTGTTGGTTGATTTTTCTAGCCACATCGGGGAAGCAGAACAAGCTATAACACAACACTGACATATTATCATAAAGTTGATGTAATAAATGTGGTAGATATTCAGCAGATGCAAAGCAACATTGGCATTTGTTTGGAGTCTTGTGTCTGGCATCCTGTAAGTCCAACAATTACTGTATTTGTAGCTCTATTTTGGTCTCCACCAACTCCTGAGGGAAATAACCAGCTAGTTGGTAACGTTTATGCCAAATGAATAAGCGGAAAGATGCTGAAAGCCTCTGTAGAGCTGATCATTTATTTTTTATGGACCAGTGTGTAGAATTTAGTGCCATCTAGCAGTGAGCAACTGGATAACGCACGATTTCCAAGTGTGTAGGAAAACTAGGGTGGCTGCGAAACTTGCGAAAAATGCAAAAGGCCCGCTCTGTGTGGCTTGTCTGTTCTGGGCTACTGTAGAAACATGGTGGTTCAACTTGGCGGACTCCTTAGAAGACGACCTCCCTCTATAGATATAAAATAAAAGGCTCATGCAAATGTAAAAAAAACCCACAACAATTCTTATTTTCATTCATAATGACTAAAACATACCTATGAATATTATATTCCTTTTCTGCCAATAGATCCTCCTAAATGTTACACACTGGACTTTTAGGACCCAGCTGATAATTCTCATTTGACCCATTGTGAATGTAAAGATACTGATTATAGCAACTTTAATCTCTTAGATTGAAATATAATACAGATAAGTGATTTTTCACTATTTATAACCATCTGTGTCCATTTGTCTCTGTCCTTCCTTCTCTCACTGTGTCCCAGGTGATAAATGCCATCGAGCAGGACTTCAGGCTGCCAGCCCCAATGGACTGTCCAGTAGTGCTGCACCAGCTGATGCTGGACTGCTGGCAAAAAGACAGAAACGCACGGCCAAAGTTCCCCGATATTGTCAGCATGTTGGACAAAATGATACGCAACCCTGCATCTCTCAAAGCCGGCACCAACAATGTCGCCCCTGGGTGAGGCGAGATGCAAACTGATTGACATACACAAACACTCTTCCTGTGTGTTCTGTAACAAACTGTTTCTCTCTCTTGTCTATTGTATCCACTGTCTCCAGTCCTTCTCATCATCCTTTGTTAGACCGTGGAGCTCCGGACCTGAGCAGGGTGAGCTCTGTGGAAGACTGGCTGGCTGCACTGAAGATGACCCAATACCGAGACTCCTTCATGGGCTCAGGCTTCACTTCTTTGCCGCTCATCACACAAATCACAGCAGAGTATGTCTACCCATTTAACTGCCTCTCTCTTTTTGTCTTTGAGACACTGTCTGTCTCGCACTGCTCACCCGCCAAGTCTGTGTCTTGTTAGTTGGACAACTGACAGAGCGGCTGGTTGGCTGACTGCTGGTGCATGTGTACGCCTGTCTGTTTCTCTGAACAATCTCCCAGGCTTACTCATATCCATACTTTCTTCCTATTTGTCATTGTAGAAAATGCTTTGATTACAATTACAGCACATTAATATATCTATGTCACATTAATTGTGATAAACTGTAATTGCTGTTAACAATTTGAACCACTGTCAAAACAATAAGAAGCCTCATTACTCTGGTATTGGTGATGCTGTTCTTTCAACAAAGCCTGCAATTCCTACAAACCCTAGCTTTCGTGTAGCTATGTCACATACCACGCATACTTGGTGTTTCTGCTCGTGGTTTGGTCTCTTTTAGTCTTCTGCAGAATGTTGGAGGTCAGATTTTTAATCAGCATTTCCTTTCACCATCTGCCATTGTGAGAAATTCTGGAAGTCTTAGCTTTATTTTCTTAATATAATATACTGAAGGAATGCATTTTGTTGTTAGGCCCTGTACGCTGCACTGAGGCTGAGACATAGAGGATGGATTTCACCACATTGATGAAGTTTACATACATAGTACCAGTGCGGAGACAGCAGATAGGGTCACACAGTGTTGGCTATGAGCGAGTGAACTTTTTTCATGGGCAAGGCCCTGCTATTGAGAGATAAAATGGATGGTAAACCTTCCTGAACTTATTTTTCTTGTTTTATGGTCTGTTGTGTTTGTGTGTGTTAAATTATATTTCAGGCACATTTTGGATCCTTTTATTTCATTGTGGTTGAAAGCAAATTGTACCAGACAAAATATCTGATTTTGGTAAACCTTCCTGAACTTATTTTTCTTGTTTTATGGTCTGTTGTGTTTGTGTGTGTTAAATTATATTTCAGGCACATTTTGGATCCTTTTATTTCATTGTGGTTGAAAGCAAATTGTACCAGACAAAATATCTGATCAGTAAAATTAGATGAATGATGCAAATGAGGTGAGTGGAGTGGCCAAAAACTGTACTCATGTAGAAGTATAAATAAATATTATATATAATATACTTGAGTTATACAAACATATTTACTTGAAAACATTTATAGAGCAGATGCACCCCAAGTAAAAACACCCTTGCTTGTTGTCTCCTATATTGTATTATAATTTGGAAAATATATCAGCAAATCATGTACATAATAGACCATGTCGGTTAGGTCAAAAAGTAAATACTAAGAATGTCAGCATGTTATAGTGTCCTTAAACTTGAGTTCACTATAGATGGCCCAAGTCCCAGTTCCCATCACAGACAGCCACAGATCAGGTGTGAGCCCCCCACATCCACATCTCTGCAATGACATGAAGACCATAAGATTAGAGAAGTGGCCAAATCATTCTCTGATCTTTCTGAAAATGTCTCATATCAGATGACTCATTTAGGCTAATAAGTAGATAATGCTGAGAAGTCTCATCATTAATTACCTATTCACTAAAAAAAGACTACACCTTCATATAGATGTAGATTTGAGTTGGTTTATTGCTTGTAATGGAGCTGAGATGGGATTATATGATAAGAACAGAGTCCAGAGGGAGGACTGAGGGATGCAGGGATGGGGAAGAGGGTCGAGGGATGAGGGGTAAGGGTCGAGGAGTATTGAATGAGGGGTTGAGGGGAAGACAGATGAGGGATGAAGGGGTGAGGGTAGGAATCGGATCCGTAGCTGATGGATGCAGGAGTGAAGAGGAGACTGGTGTCTGCTGGCGAGAAGATGCGCGGGAAACGGTAGGAGTCGAGACTATGAGTGGGGGAATCGTCTCTTTGTTGACAGATGCGCGAACCCCCCATTTCCTGTATGCAGACAAAGAGAGAGAAAAAGCAGAAGTGGTTTGGGTGGGGGATGAGAAAGCTGAGTCAAGGGGAGGTGAACGGAAAAGGTGTGCTAAGTACTTGGTGCGCGGAAATGGGATGAGTTCAAGGTGTGGTCTTTGTTCCCTAATCTAGTTTATAAAACATTTAAATACAGGTGTGTTCACTTCTTCAATTTGAACTGAGAAAGACCATCTGTGGTTGAAATATTGTATCAGTCATGTCCACATGATATTAGTTGTCTTTTTTTTATGTGCATAATTTGGTCTCTACTGTACTGTCTCTCTTCATCTGGCTACACCAATTAGCATGACTAGTCAAATGCACACTGTAAGCTTGAAAATTTACATTATGGCAGAAAGCAGGCGTAGTAGTAGTTTTAAAGCATGATGTAGTGTGTGTGTATATATTATTAAACTTATTAGCACTAAGTCAACATACACAACTGCTCAATGTCAGCTCAGTGTCAGCATGGTTCTCTGATGTACTGACCTCAGACCAGTGTTCACAATCGGAGCCAGCTTCCCTGTGCACTGTTAATTTGTCTGTAAATATTAGCTGCTGGCTTTATTTGAAAGCCCTGCTTTACTCCCTCTGTAGCTTGAGCTATTAAGTTGCTCAGAATAGAGTCATGTTGATATGTTGCCACAGTAGGATAACAGAGCGCCAGATCGTGAATGCAAATATAATAAAAGTAGAGTGATGAATGCATTCAAATGTAACATAGTAAAATTAATGATTTTTCTCTATTGAAACTATTCTGACAAGTACAATTTCTTCAACAGAGTAACTCGTTACTACCCACATTTGTGCACACTATATTTCACCTTACTGATGTAATGTGCCTGCAAAACATACTGTTTCTAACAGTATATTTAAATAGGCAAACATAAGACTTTTCTGTGCTCTTATTAATCCTTAAATCAGTTTATCCACAAAAAAGAATGTATCTATACATTTAAAAAGCTAAAAGGTTGAGAGATAATTATGTGAAATATATAAGTTTTTCTCTTTGGAAATGATTAGTTAAACACTGGCTACAACTTTGTTATTATTTCAAACCAGCCAAAGACAGCCCTTACCCATATACACTGCATGTTCATGCTCTGCTAATTTAGTGCACTGGCATCTTTTTTATTCCTATTTAAGCAGCCCATAACTAATGCAGTAATGATTTATTGGTGTTAAATACCTTCAAATAGCAACCTGAATAATTGACATATTAATATGATGTTTTTTTGACGATGATGCCACCCTCACATCTGTGCCTCTTTTTGTGTTTTTCCAGAGATCTTCAGAGGATTGGTGTGTCTCTAGCCGGACACCAGAAGAAAATCCTGACCAGTGTTCAGTCAATGAGGCACAACATCGATGACCAGTCTCCTACTGAATCTGTGTAGCCACACAGGGGAGCGATACAGTATGAAATATTTGACGTGTGTACAGTCTGAATGAGCAGGCTGACATCTTTACGCTTTGGTTTTCCCCTCATACACTTCAGTTTGCTGGTCTTGGAGATCTAAACCACTTTACATGTTTTTAACAACCACTGTGGCCATTTATTTGTCTGCATGGCCTCAGCAGTCACCAGGTCCCTCCTTCAGTCATCGGACAGACTTATCTCATACAATTTAGCTTTCCAAATTGATTTAAACTATATACTTCTCTGAATGAATTCAATGCAGCGTTAGTGAAAGAGAAAATACAGGGCAGACATGATTTATGATCGAAAACAAAAAACTCTATGTGTCTGAGCTTTTCGGTCTCTAAGTGGTACAATCACAAACACAGATTCCCTCTCATCCAAAATCTGCCGGCAGGATAACTTTTACTTCCATGATTGAAAACTAAAGACCAGTTTTTACCAGCTTGACTGTTCAAGGACAACATGGACTGGTTATTATCAAAGGATACATCACACAAACTACTACTGCTACTGTGAAGAGGAAACTGAATGAACAGACATTTATATGAAAGGATAAAAACTGGACCAAAAGCCTGAAAAAAGTCTTTAAAGTAGTGTTTCTGGAGACCCATAGCAGGCTTTGTTTTCTCTAGTATGTTTTATTGAGACTAATTCAATGTCTTGGTAAAAAATGCTCAGATCTGAATGCAGACCAAGAGGCAACAGTTAAATGGGACTTTGTGACTATATCTTCATATTGAAGAGCCTGTAAATATGATGAAATGGGATGTTTATTTCCTATTTGCTCATTTTCTTTCACTTTTGCCAACAGCATCGGACAATTAATTGTTACTGGAGTATTTGTGAGCTCTCTATGATTATCTTCCTCTGCCTGACTCGTCACTGGAACAAACTTTAAAGTGGTGTGGACTGCAGTCTAAAAAAAGAAAGAGAAAAAACACGGAAAAATAGGTTTTGTAGTTTTTTTTACTTTCCATGCAGCCATGAAAAGACTCTTCCACGCATGGGGGTAGCCTGCTTAAAATACTTGATTCAGAGGGAACTCATAATGGATGACGGACTACAGTCAGCACAAATGCACTCTGAGTAAAGGCAATTATAGACCAGAAAATGGAAACAAAATCAGATAAAGAAATATTAAACTACTATACTAATTTAAGAAGTCCTTTTCCAAGCCAGAACACAAAGCAACTGAAAGTATAGAAGATGAGGAAAAACTGCTTAAGAGACTGCGGGTATTGAGTCATTACCAGCTGCTGAGACGCACCTGTTGTGAACACACAGCAGCGGCCAGAGAATCTCAAAAGACAGAAAAGGTATTCTCATCCAATGTTCTTGTGATTTGGCTGCAAATCCTAAAGCTGACTGCCAGTCAGGCATTAATACAACGCATGAACAAACCAGAAATGCAAGCCTCATGTGCTGTCCACGCATGAAACAAATCTAATTTCTGTCAAAACTGTATTGCTGCAGTCCAGATGGTAATCATCACTTTTCAGCAGCAGGCAAGGCCTTTGTATAAATTCACTTTTTTGTTCATAGGCTGCCGGACACGTCGTTATTTTGACAGTCACATTTCCCAATTGACAGAACTGATTAATACTGTTGTGTCAGTTTGCAGATGAAAAGACATGAAGTGACCTATCCCTGTTCTCGTCTGTCTACAGCAACCTTTACAATGCTGGGCGTTATGCAACATTCACTTACAAGCAACAAAGGCTGCTTTCTCAGACATGTCAGAGAAAAGATCCAACAAGAAAATATAGTAAAATCCAAGGGTCAAGAAGCAAATTGCCAGTGTATCGTATTCATCATGTTTTAGTACATAAATGGGATGGTTGACTCACTAGTCTCCACAAAATATTATATCAAGAAGGCCTGATCTCACTCTGGGGCACACTGGTTGAGAAGCACATCTCTTTTATCTCAGCACTGAACAGCTTACCAGATGTGCAACAACAGCAGGTTCGCTCTGCCTTCAGTCTAAACCTCTGGTCATGCGAGTGCACCCACTTTATCAGTAGCACAGATTGGATGTCATGATTTTATTTGTCATCGGCTCCTCACAATGACAGAAGTGAAAGTATTTAGAGGTTTGCCTTTAACACGTTTTACCGCTGCATGACTACAGAACGATTCTTGGACTCCCAAAGTCTTTTATTTACGAACACTATGACATTAAGAGGCCAGTGACTATTTTAAACCTCCAAACATGTCCGTTTTCACTTTTTGATGAAACACTGCTCCGCTGGCGCGACCGGAATTGCATTTGTTGCCTGGCAACGATAGCTTATTGAACATTTTATCAGGAAGTATTGAGATCAACTGGGAGCGTGTCAGTGGTGCAGAGGCATAATTCGTTGTAAATAGATGCCTCTGGAAAAACCGTTTCAGCGCTCGCTCGAGTGGTTAACCAACAGTGAGACGAGTGTGCCTAAAAGCTCGTATTGAATGCCACCTACAAAAAATGGCATGGCAGAAATAAAAGCTATCAACACAGGCAGTCATCTTAATACATTATGTAACTTTAACAAGGTTAGATGTGAGCTTTCAGAGGCATTTCACATTCCTGTGTCAGCGTGTGTGTGTGTGTGTGTGTGTGTGTGAAAAGACAATGACGGCATAAATGATTTACAGCATGTCTTGAATTTATACTATGGTTTGAGCACAAATATACACCACAGAGAGGATAACTCAGGAACACAACAGATGTGAGTTTTGTCTACATTGCTGCATAAAATGGTATCATTTTCTGGTAAGTCATCAAAAGATTAAACCAAGATGAAGTTTTTTAAGAGTTCATGGAGTTCAACTGTTGTTGGTGTTTGAAGTTTTCTGTGCTTATTAAAAGTTAAATCCATCCTAAATCCAGCTACTAAAACCTTTGAGACTGCTCTATTTGTGAATGTGAACAAGACTATTATACAAGAAAACAGAGTTAATACACTTTCTGATTATATCAGTGCTGAATTTCTGGGCCCATCTTCTAATTCAAGGCTAAATTACATTTTTAATCCTTTTTAGAGGGGAGTTTTGACATCAAGCTTTTTAAATGTTTCCCATTTGAAAAATACAAATCACCAAGCTTCCAATTTACTATTTTAGGCACATAAACAGAGTTTTATCATCCAAACCAGACCAACAAAGTATTGAAATTTGATTGTAAAATCAGTGGAAACATCTGTTACTATAGACGTTTTAAAGATAAAATGCTTCTCTAAGACACTAGCTGTGTCACAACTCCATACTACATACTAAATCTCAGCAGGTTTTGGGTAAAAACTCAATAGTGTGTTTACTCTGCAAATTATAAATTATTTTTGAGTTTGCTGTTGATGGACACTTTTTAAAGTTGACATGCATCGATGCATATATTGTATAATTTCCTGATGAACTGTTAAAGTTGCCCTGTGGAGTTTCCTTTTAAACAGTGTTTCTGTTTACATTCAGTGTTAATCATCAAAACACACTTTGTGTATCCTTGAGGTCTAACAAACATGTTGAATGTATTTCCTTCCTTATAAATCATTTTGGAATAGTTTTTACATTTTAAACCTGCATTGTTTACAACCATGTTTACCTGCTATCAGTCTTCTTCTTTCCTGACCTTTAATGTTGCTTTGCAGTAGAGTGGAATAATGTGAAACCATTATAATGTGAATCACGTCACCCGCATGTCTGTGCATGTGCACTTGACCCACATCTAAAAACATAAATCCATAGTGCTACTAGTGGTCAAAAACTCTATAGGGTAACTTCCTACCTTGTTGATTTATTTGTATACTGCTATAAAAAGTATACTATGCATTTATATCTTTTAAGGGTCTGGCTAGAATCGGACTTCAATCCGTCTTGAATGCTTCTTGGATTTACACATACACTACGCTTTCTTGAGATCGGATAGCTATCTGATCTGCCCAAGACTCATTAAATGATTAAGTGTAAATGGGGTCATTGTCTATGGGAAATATAAATGGGGCTTTAACTTGCAGAAACAGAGGCGCCTGAAATAGCTCCTCCCACTTCAGAACTTTATATAGTATGGATTTGGGATGCAGCTTCTTATGTTTTAAAGTGGAAAGATCCACCCTCAAAGGTTTCTAAATTTGTTATACTTGTTGTTTATTAGGATTTTGATATGAAACTTGCTGCTCTTAAAAAGTGCGGGAGCATCTGACCAGTCTGCGAACATTAATGTTGTGACCACTGTCTCTCTCCTCTGTAAAAACTCAACATTTCGCAGCTGAAATGCACTCTGGTGTGCTGGGATTACTGCCAGTGGAGACAACTATGATACATTCTCTCCGTTCATTGTTGAATGGTGGTACAAATGGAAGCTGCAGACAAAAACCCTCGCCAGCCCTCTGAGGGACTGACACCAAAACCTGACATTTACTGCAGATGTTACAGATAGAAAACTCCATTTAGTCTCCACTGTAACTGTGCTGGAAATGTATCAACATGATGTCACATTAGGTTTGGCCAATTAACCACTGAAACAGGAAAAATATACCACAACATATACAACGCAGGCCCAGAAATGCAAGTTGTGTCACCAGAAGCTCCTCCAAGTGCCTAAGGGTGGATTTATCTTTTAATTGCAGTTATTTCCGGGAAGCTGGACTGTCTGGGCTGCTTTTCTCTTCTCCTGTTACTCTGGTGTAAAAGATACTGTAGGTGATGTTGGAGATGAGAGGAGGCGAGTTATGAAGAGAAGGAAGAAAGTGAAAGGGAATAGGTAATAGAAGAGGCAGAGGAGAAGGGAAGGATAACAGAAGAAGAGAGAAAAGCAAGGGGCGGAGGCGTGATAGGCAAAGCTCGACTCTCGTATTGGAATAAAAATGAGCCTGGGTGTGGAGAGATTACACTTTCTCTTTTTGTTTCTCTCGCTCTCCCTGCTATACCCGGCTGTCCTCTTTCTTCTCCTAATGCCCACAACCTCTCTGTACTGCTTCCAGTCTGCAGTCTCCAGACTAATGGTTTAAAGGCAAGCGTGTCGAGCACTTGTTTTATTCTTAGATGCACTATTCTCGCAAACATTTTTATCTTGCATCGCTTAATGATGCCCCGGCAAGTATCACTTTACGCAAAAGAAACCTGCAGTGTGTTGTTGTGTTTTTTTTTAGAGCATTTATCCCAAAACTGTGAAAGTAAAGGTCTACCGAAAAATAAGGGTTTGTCATCCAATTTTAGCCGGTAACTTTTGTTCCATGTGTCCAGTCGTTCACAGTGTTCCATTAACGTGAGCTAAAGCAGTCTGGCTATATACATTCTGGATATGCAGAAAAGATTTTCTCCTTTTAAATGATTACATTTTTATTTATTTTCTTTCCTACTGCTTGCCATACGTTTTAGTATAAATGTAATGTATATTGGTTTCTCTTGAAAAAAGAAAAAACAGCTCAGTAATCAGCTGTAGTCTGCCTTTCTCTTGTTTACCTACAATACTGTTATAGGTGTTACTGCTCATATAGTCAGAGCATCCCACTGTAATGTATTATAAATTAATACTGTAATATAAAATGAGTGTGCGCACGCCTGTGCATCTTTGTGTGTGCGTGCGTGTGTGCGTGTGTAATATAATGTGTGTGTGCTGTTCAGTGTACAGTAAAATGTTTGTACATCGTGCGTGTGTGAGTTTGTAGCTGTTAACTTTCTGAGTCTTACATTTACAATGCACTGTTTGTCAATAAAGAAGACAAATCAATCAAACTGATCAGCTTCGGCACTCAATTAACACACAGTCAAGCTGAAGATGAAGGACAGAGAAGAGGAAATTGAAGGGTACATACAGTATATTCTATATATTATGTAGTTAACAAAATCTGCATATCAAAATGTCTAAAGCTCACACATTATGTCTCATTTAAGTGTAAAATCCACAATTTTTACACAAAAAACACCATTTAGCACTTCATACTGAAAAAGGGCACTGCTTGATGTTAAGCTAAGCTAACTGGCTGCTAGCGGTAACTTCACACTTACCATACAGACATGAGAGTGGTACCAATCATTTAACTCTCTGCAAGATAGATTGACAATACTGATAAACTATTCCTTGAACAGCCCATAAAACATACCTAACATTGTTTAATCATATTGATACAGAATTGTATACATTGCATTGCATGTTTACATGTTTACATTGCATTATAAACATGATCTTGAACCAGTGATATGTTTCAAAATGATGATTGTTCATGAGAACTCAGGTATTTAATTGACCCCAAACAAATGTAGAATAACAAACTACATTTCTTTGTCTGTGAATTACTTTTGGGCAAACTAAACGTACATGTATTTTTGTGTGTAATATTTCCTAATTTGGGGTAATAACAAAGCTTTATTGTCATTTCCATATTTTATCACCTTCATCACCACTTCAAAACTTTTCTACATATTGGTTTTTAATTAGGGCAGAAGAAGATTAAGAAAAAGGAAGTGGTTGATTTTCCAATTATAATTGAAGCCGGTGAGACTCCCAGAAATCATGGGGAAAATAATAATCAGTTATTAAGGTTGACAGACAGACACATGGAAGTTTTCAAAATGAAGTCATTTTAAGTCTACTAGGACATGGTATGTAACACGGTAGGAAACATTGCTAATAATAATAATTATAATAATTACAATTGTAATAATGGGAACCCTCAATATGCTTTGCTTGATGTTCACTACTGGAGGCAACATTAACCCTAAATCTTCCCTGGGACACTGTGCAATAAATTCCTTAGTAGATTATGATGACTGCATTCTGAAAAGTAATAAAAAGGGTAATAAAACTTCATAATGAGTTCCACTTCTATGCCAGCAGGCTAAATTTAATTCATGGGAGTGAGAGTCAATTTTTTAAACGCGTGAGTGACTCATGTTTGCGACTGTAACTCTTTGTTGATAAACGACAAAGTTTACAACCTGCGATGATGACTTTGAATGACACAGTGAAGTTCTCCTCAGAGCGTTAGAGGCATTTAACACAGCCAAGCTGCCAAAAAATTTACAAAGGCTAAAAAAACCACAAGGCGGGCTAAATTGAATCACATTTAAAGCTAGATTTGCTAATAAAAAAATCCATTACCTGACAGCCTGTGGAGTCTGCTGCAGTGTATAATTCAGAGCAGTGAGAGCCCCATCAATTCATATGAAACAGATTAGCAGCACAGGAACTATTGCAAATTGCTAATGAGTACTATGAATATACGTTACAGGAGTGTAATTGACATAAACCCATTAACTGCAGCTGAATGACAGAGAATTAAATTTGATTACAATAAAGTGTGGCCTGCAATTGAAATGTAAAAAATACATTTCACTATAATACTAAATTCAAAATGCAGCTAATCAGCAATATGAACCTGCACTTAAAAGGACCCATATGCACATTTAAAAAACTCATATGAGCTTTTACTGATCTGCCACCTCTATGATTTGAGGGTAATTAATTAATTAATTGATCCTAGAAACATGTATCATCTGTGTTGCTGAAGCCTGATACATGTACAGTGGGGAGAACAAGTATTTGATACGCTGATGATTTTGCAGGTTTTCCTACTTACAAAGCATGTAGCGGTCTGTAATTTTTATCATAGGTACACTTCAACTGTGAGAGACGGAATCTAAAACAAAAATCCAGAAAATCACATTGTATGATTTTTAAATAATTAATTTGCATTTATTGCATGACATAAGTATCTTATCACCTACCAACCAGTAAGAATTCCGGTTCTCACAGACCTGTAATCTCCCTCGGTCTGGGGCTCCATGCAAGATCTCACCTCGTGTGGCATCAGTGATCATGAGGAAGGTCATGAGGGATCAGCCCAGAACTACACGGTAGGACCTGGTCAATGACCTGAAGAGAGCTGGGACCACAGTCTCAAAGAAAACCATTAGTAACACACTACGCCGTCATGGATTAAAATCCTGCAGCGCACGCAAGATCCCCCTGCTCAAGCCAGCGCATGTCCAGGCCCGTCTGAAGTTTGCCAATGACCATCTGGATGATCCAGAGGAGGAATGGGAGAAGGTCTGATGAGACAAAAATAGAGCTTTATGGTCTAAACTCCACTTGCCATGTTTGGAGGAAGGAGGATGAGTACAACCCCAAGAACACCATCCCAACCGTGAAGCATGGAGGTGGAAACATCATTCTTTTGGGATGCTTTTCTGCAAAGGGGACAGGACAACTGCACCGTATTGAGGGGAGGATGGATGGGGCCGTGTATCGCGAGATGGCCAATAACCTCCTTCCCTCAGTAAGAGCATTGAAGACGGGTCGTGGCTGGGTCTTCCGGCATGACAATGACCCGAAACACACAGCCAGGGCAACTAAGGAGTGGCTCTGTAAGAAGCATCTCAAGGTCCTGGAGTGGCCTAGCCAGTCTCCAGACCTGAACCCAATAGAAAGTCTTTGGAGGGAGCTGAAAGTCCATATTGCCCAGCGACAGCCCCGAAACCTGATGGATCTGGAGAAGGTCTATGCAGTCATTGTAACATTATCATATTACTGTAAAGTTGCAGTGGGAGTTTTAAGCATTTGAAGCAAGCACACGTACAGGCACATATCTAGATGCAATCTAAAAACCGCACAACCAGTGGCTGCTGAAAACTACATAATGCCCCTTTAAATGTATTATCTAATATTTCTACCTTGTGTCATTTATTCTGCCATGTTAGAGATTGTTTATCCAAGTCCCTGTGATCAGAAAGTAGAGCTACTACATAACTCTCAGCATCTTCTCCATTCTTCTCTATGGTTTGCCATCAAAGCTTTCCCCTCACCTGTCAGTGCTAGAATGCCAGTGGTTGCACATCATGTAGTTCAATGTAGTTGAACTTTGTCCACAAAACCTGAGTGAAAATCACAACGGTGTAAACCATTATGGCTCGCAGAGCTGCCCAGGAGAACATGCTTTCCACCGAAAATAATGGCCTTGCTCTGCAAAATACCATGTTAAGCATGAAAGCAAGTGGAAGTGACTTGCCAGGAAAATGAAAACTTAGGTCACCATTTGAACAAATGACCATTCAGAGTCTTGAAGGGAGGGCTGCAAATCGCTGAGAATACATTTAGATCACGTAAATGAGGAGGTAAATGGAGCTCATATCTTATGGATATCATATGTGTCGTTCCAACCCTCTGCTTTAAAGGTCAATGGCTTTCAGTAGTAGCAGACCAAAGTCTGGCCAGGCGTGTTAGTGGGCAGCACAACACCGGGCGTGGTGAATGGTCGCATGACTTCATCACTGCTGGAAAAAAATGAGTGACAGAAGGAGGTTAAGAGAGATGAGATGGATGAAGGAAGAGAAGAGATTATATATGAAATTGTTTGTGTGTTTGTATTGTGTGTGTGTGTGTCACATACAGTGAGTCATCTTCGCACAACCAAACCAGCACAACTCTGTCTTTCCACTCCTCCCCTCATCAGCTCCCCGGATAAATAATTGACTCTTTTCCAACACTGGTCCACTGGTGTGAGGCATTTTGCTCTCCGGACTTCATTCCTGGAGATGAGACGACGTGATTCCCTCTTTTTTCTCTCTGGCTGTATTTCTTTCTTTTTCCATCCGCCTATATCTTTCACTCACAGAACTCTCTGCTGGAAAACGATGAATAGTGATGTATAGTGAGCGTTTTTTTTTAAACGAATGAACGGGTTATCTATTATTGAGCAGCAGTCAGCAGCAGCTATCTCTATCTACTAGGCTGCTAAAATAAATATGACACAGGGCTGGAGAGATTTGCACAGATCTCAACTGAGACCTCTTGTGCTCTGAGCAGTCTGAGTTACACATTTATCAGCAAAAGCAAAACCCAGGCAAGCTGGTTGCTCAAAGCAACTAGTAAATAAAATGTTCTTTTTTTGTGGTAATATCACAATTGAAGAAAATAAAGACACTTTTTGCCCGTCTTGTCTTTGGGTAAGACTATCTTACTGAATGACAAAGAAAGCTGGTCTGTTATCACCACTCTGATTGATTCTGATTAAGGTGGTTTTGCTCACACTTCTTTGGATAGAAATGTTGTTACAGTATTTCACTTTAACTGGACTGGACACAGTTTTATCCCCCATCCACCGTTTCTGCTTTATGTAACTTTTCCTGATCCTGTTCCTCGCTTTTCCAGCAGTCTTCCTCAACAAGTTTCCTGCCTTCATTCGCCTGATTAGTCTCCAGCATGCACACCTGCCCCTTATTAGTCAATTACTGCAGTATATAGTATATGTGCTCTCCAGTGAACACTTTATCTGAGTTGGCTTTGCTGTGTAGCCTTCTTCTCTGTCTTGCCTGCATTGGTTGTTTTTGACCCTTTTCATGTTGCCTTTCCCTTTTTTAATTTGTTTACTCATTCTGTAAAATGTCTGTTGACAACTGTAAAAGCCTGGTTTACCCATAGACTGTATATTAAAAGGGTTTACCTCAATTTAGACTGTTGTCTCCCCACAGCACCTGCTCGTGTTTGTCTGAGTCTGCTTCTGAGCGCTATTGCTTGAGTGTTACTGGATTAAATGAAAGATGATTTTGTGGGACTGGATTTTCATGAATTCACTAGTTCATGAAATGACCTCATTCATAATAGGAACACAAAGGCCCAAGAGCCAAGTCTGAGGGTGCTACCTGCAGGTGAAAACCAAGGCAGGATCACTACCTTGTGAAGATGCCATCTGCAAGGTACAGAGACAAGATCAGGAACAGATTTAGGCATTGTAGGA